TTCCCTTCTCTCTATAAACAAATAAAATCTTTAAAAAACAGGAGGCGGTGTAAATAAGCAACACTGTGAATAAAGAAAGGATAGCAACAAATGAGTTATCAGAATATATTAAGGATAAATTTACACTAATAATTTCGAAAACATATGCAAAGGACAAACTAAAAAACACAACTCATTAAAATAGGCTCAAGAGGAAATAGAAAACCTGAATAACCGCATCACCATGAAAGACAACAGCAGGAGTTAATCTTCACACAGAGAAAAGAGCAGGCCAGACGGCTCTACAGACCCGTTTCACCGACCTTCAGCAACAAATCCTCCTGATCTCATGTAAACACTTCTAGAAAACAGAAAAAATAAAAACCAGAACACTTCCTAATTCACTTTAGAACCCAACTATAAATATAGCACCAACACCAACACGACACAAGTTCAGTATAAGAAGGGAAAATCAAGACTTCTGGCCAAGATGGAGGCGTAGGTGGACATACTGTGCCTCCTCCCACAACCATAATTAAGGACAACAAAAATTTGGAGGCAAAAAGAACAACCAGAACTGACAGAAAATTGAACTGTACTGAACAAGCCACAATTCATCCAGACCAGTGAGAAGGGCAGAGAGGGGTCACGGCAGGGAAAAGTGGTGGCTGGTGACCCGGTACACAGGCAACAGTTGGCAGGCCCCGGGAGCGCAGGCAGTGGCTAGCGGACCCTGGGCACACAGGTGGTGGCCGGCAGACCTTGGGTGCGGAGTGGCAACAAGCAGACCCAGTGAGGTGAACAAGGCCGCTGGCTGGCCGCGGTCACACATTCATGCGCAGATAGACCAGACAAAAACGGGCAGTGAGACAGACCATGCAGCCCAGGGCCCAGTGCTGGGAAATAAAGCCCAAAAGCACCAATTGAAAATGCCTGTGGGGGTGAGGCACCAGGAGAGACTCCCAGCCTCACAGGAGAGTTCATTGGAGAGACCCACCAGGTCCTAGAATGTACACAAGTCCATCCACCCGGGAATCAGCACCAGAAGGGCCCCATTTGCTTGGGGGGAGAGGCGGAAGGGACTGAAGTTCGGGAGAGAGGGGAGCAAGTGCCACTTTCCCTCTCTGACCCTGCCTCCACATACAGTGTCACAACCCAGCTACTTGGGTTGCCCTGCCCTGGTGAACACCTAAGGCTCCGCCCCTCATATGTAAGAGGCACAACCAGACCCCCCCCCAAAGAAAAGACTCAAACGAAAGAAGAAATCAAAGCCCCAGAGCCAATACTTCTAAGAGATCAAGAGATAGCCAACCTATCAGATGCACAGTTCAAAGCACTGGTGATCAGGATGCTCACAGAATTGGTTGGTTTTGGTCGCAAATTAGATGAAAAAATGAAGGCGACATACACTAAGTGAAATGAAGGAAAATGCACAGGGAACCAATAGTGATGGAAAGGAAACTGGGACTCAGATCAATGGAGTGGACCAGAGGGAAGAAATAAACAACCAAACAGAAAAGAATGAAGAAACAAGAATTCAAAAAAATGAGGAGAGGCTTAGGAACCTTCAGAACATCTTTAAACATTCCAACATCCGAATTATAGGGGTACCAGAAGGGGAAGAGGAACAGCAACAAGTGGAAAACTAATTTGAACAAATAATGAAGGAGAACTTCCCCAATCTGGCAAAGGAAATAGACTTCCAGGAAATCCAGGAAGCTCAGAGAGTCCCAAAGAAGTTGGACCCAAGAAGGAACACACCAAGGCACATCATCATTACATTAGCCAAAATTAAAATGAAGGAGAGAATTCTAGAAGCAGCAAGAGATAAGGGGACAGTCACTTACAAAGGAGTTCCCATCAGACTGTCAGCTGATTTCTCAAAAGACACCTTATAGGCAAGAAGGGGCTGGAAAGAAGTATTCCAAGTCATGAAAGGCAAGGACCTACATCCAAGTTTACTCTATCCAGCAAAGCTTTCATTTAGAATGGAAGGGCAGATCAAGTGCTTCTCAGATAAGGTCAAGTTCAAGGAGTTCATCATCACCAAGCCCTTATTATATGAAATGTTAAAGGGCCTTATCTAAGAAAAAGATTATAAATATGAACAGTGAAAGGACAGCAAACTCACAGTTATTAACAACCACACCTAAAACAAAAGCAAACCAAGCAAACAACTAGAACAGGAGTGGAGCCACAGAAATGGAGATCACATGGAGGGTTAGTAATAGGGGAGTGGGAGGAGGAGAGAGAAGGAAAAGATACAGACAATAAGTAGCATAGATGGTAAGAAGAAAATAGACAGGGGAAGGGCAAGAATAGTATGGGAAATGTAGAAGCTAAAGAACTTATGACATATGGACATGAACTAAAGGGGGGGAATGTGGGTAGGAGGGGGTGTTCAGGGTGGAGGGGAATGAAGGGGGGATATGAGACAACTGCAATAGCCTAATCAATAAATCTTTTTAAAAAATTCAAAACAGTAGCAACCCTGAAAACAAAAAAGAAAGAAAGGAAAACTGATCCTGGCTGGTGTGGCTGAGTGGATTGAATGCCAACTTGAGAACTAAAGGGTCGCTGGTTCAATTCCCAGTCAGGGCACATGCCTGGGTTGCAGGCCAGTTCCCCAGCCGGGGATACATGAGAGGCAACCACACACTGATGTTTCTCTCCCTCTCTCTCTCCTTCCCTTCCCCTCTCACTAAAAATAAATATTTTTTAAAAAAATACATAAATAAAAGCGGCAAATGTAATTTACCACTTGGACAGAAAAAAGAAAAAAGTATATTATAATAATAAATACAACTGAAAGTACTTAGTAACATTAAATTGCATCAATCTGGTAAAAGGTGTCTACAAAAGAACGGAGAGTAGGAAAGTTTTTAGTGATAAAACCTACAGTAAAGATTTAGTTAGTGAAAACTTTCCCTTTAAGGGGGGATATAGCCATTTCTTTTTCTTGAAGATTTCATTTCTTTTACTTTTTAAATAGATTTATTTACTTACTTTTAGAGAGAGGGTAAGGGAGGGAGAAGAAACAGCCACGTGCAGGAGACACACTGCCTCTCGCACGCCCCCGACCGGGGGCCTGGCCTGCAACCCAGGCAGGTGCCCCGACTGGGAGTCGAACCCACGACCTTTTGGTTTGCGGGCCGGCACTCAACCCACCGAGCCACACCAGCCAGGGTAGGTCACAGCCATTTGTAGTCAACACTCTACAGCCCTGGCCAGCATGTGAAACAAGAACGCATTAGAAAAGTTGTAAGAATTGGAAAAGAAGAAACAAATCTGTCATTATTTGCAGATGCTACATTGTCCATTAGAAAACCAAAGAGAATCTATAAATAAATCCTTTAAATTAACCAGTTTAACAAGTTTTCTGGATACAAAGTAAACTTAACAGGTCAACTACATGCTACTGTATCAGAAACTCTTCCTTGAGAGATGTTATTTTAAAAGAGATACTATTGCTCTGACTAATGTGGCTCAGTAGGTTGGGCACCATCCCTGAAACCAAAAGGTCACCGGTTCTATTCCCTGGGCAGGGCTCAGGCCTGGGTTGCAGGCCAGGAGCCCGGCTGGGAGAGCGCTGGAGGCGACTGATGGCTGCTTCTCTCACATATCCAGGTTTCTCCCCCTCTCTTCCCCTCTCTCTAAACATAAATAAATAAAATATTTTGTAAAAAAGAGAAAGAGATACTATTTAGCCTGACCAGTGTGGCTCCCTTGGTTGGGTGTCTGTCCTGCAAAGCAAAAAGTTGCTGGTTGGTTCTTGGCTAAGGCACAGGCCTGGGTTGTGGGTTTGGCCCCAGTTGGGGCACGTATGAGAGGCAACCGATCGACATTTCTCTCTCGTGTCAATGTTTCTCTCCCTCTCTTTCTCCCTCCCTTCCCCCCTCTCTAAAAATAAATAAGTAAAATCTTAAAAAAAAAACCCCAAAAACACAGACAATTCCACAGAATGACAGGAGAAAGGTGATAACGAAGAAAGGCTTAATGGTGTGGGAGAATGGGATCTCCAGCAGAGATCGGGGTCCCCAAGGGCAGGGACAGTTCTGCCACTGTCACAGGAGAGAACGCAGTAAAGATGGCACAGTTGCAGAAAGGGTGGGGGGTTGGAGGTGGGAATGTGAGGGGTGCCCCACGTGACGAGGTCTATTTTCAATGACATGCCTGGCCAGGCCTGCATCTGATGAGTAATAGCAGCGGGTGGTTTATGGAGACAGTGAGGACAACACTGACGAGCAGTGGAATCGCCCGGGGCCATGAAGAGAGCTCGTTTGAGGTCTGTGGCTATGAACGGACAGGGAAAATACGGCCCCCGTTGGGTGATTTCTCTCCCAATGTGGTTGGGTGAACCACATTCAGTGGCTCCGGAGCAGGGGGGGAGGACGGTGGTTGTGCCAAGTGAGAGGAGCAGGGGGAGCCGGGAGCCAGGACCGAGTCTGCAGGGGCGAGATTGACGAGACTGCAGGGGAGGACGGGTGGGAGGGGAGGACAGTGCAGAAGCTGTGAGCTGAACAGATCACAAGGTCAACGGGCCTGAGGGCTGTCAGGAGGGGGCTGGAGGGGTGCGGCTTCCAGGTGCTCGCAGGGTGGTGGCTGAGCTACGGTGAACGAGCAGGTTGCTGCAGGCGAGGATGACGAGGAACGGAGAGGCCAGGCAGTGGATGAGACATCCACATGAATTCAGAAGCCCAGGGAAAGGTGACAGTGGGGTCAGGGAGGAAGACTGTGGACCAGGAGGAAGGTCCGGGATTGAGGAGTGACAGGAAGTGGCTCAATGGCAACAAAGTCTCTTCTCGGGTGAGCACCCTGGGCTCAGGCCCCCGGATGGCGGGGCAAGCGTGGCTCTTTAGAACTCACAGGGACATTCAATATTTGACTCCTCAAAGCAGATTCAGGAGGCTGGCACAGCCAGCCCCATCTTCAGCGTGAGGACCTGAGGCTCAGTGAGAAGAGGGGGCAGCAGGGCCCCGGTCCCACCCCGTGCGCCCTGTGTGCCCATGAGGTCAGGTCACCTGGGTAGTTCCGGCAGCCCCCGGCAGTGCTGCCCCTCCGCCAGGTACCCTCATAGAGGGTGGTGTTCCATTTGCGGTACCGCCGGCTCTTCAGGGCGTCCGGCGTCAGGTTGCAGATCTCCAGGCGGGTGAACTCACGCATGAAGTCTCGAAATGACATCCTGGGGGTCAAGGTGCAGAGGTGAGCCACGGTCCCCAGCCAAGACACACAGGGATGGGGCATGGGCCGGGTCGTGGGGTTTGAGAAGTGGAGTACAAGGTCTGCAGAGGGGCCAGACCAAGAGCGAGCTGCTTACCAGAACTCCCCGTCCTCCATCTTGATCCGGAGCTGCTCCCGTTCGTAAGGGTCCACATTGTTCCACTCCGAGGAGCTGTGGGGGGAAGGCCCTGTCAGGGGCTGGTGGGTGCTGACCTGCCTGGCCTCTGTCCTTGGTGGGGGGGGGAGGGTCTGTCCTCCCCTAGCCCAGGTCAAGATCAGGCCACAAGATTCCAGGTCCAGGGGTTGCCTTGTCAGGGCCAGATCAGATGCCTTGAGTATGCTCACAGGCAGGGCACAGGGCCCACGTGCCTAGACCTAGTAACACAAAGGTGGCCCCTCTGCTCAATCCTGAGCCCACCCCAGGCTGGCAGGCCCTGAGCAGAAATGCCAGCGGCACTGGTCAGCCTTCCCAAGCCTCCCCAGCCAATGCCCACTGCCCCTCACCCATCACTCCAGGCTCCTGTCCACTCCACCTCGCCCCAGGGGTTCCGCATCCGGATCAGGCTCACCATCTGGCCCATGTAGTTCACCTGCTCCCCAGAGCTCCCATCAGCGCCTGCTTCTGGCATGCACTTTAACAGCCCTCCCCACCCCCGGGCCCTCCCCGAGCCCTGCCCCACACCCGGCACCATCTCCCACCAGAAACGTAGTGGAGAAGCAGCTCCGTACACAAGCGACAGTGAATCAACACAAGGTCAAGATAAACACCTACAAATAAGAGTCCCCGGGAGACAGACAAGGTGCTACCACAGTGGAGCCAGCCCCTCCCACAGCCCTGGTCACAGGCCAGACAGACAAAGGCAGGCAACGATGCGGGCACCAGGCTGCAGGGAAGGCCCCGTGGTACCTGCTTAGCCCCGGTCACAGAGTAGGCATGGCCCTTCACCAGCTTCTTGAAGGTGATGGCCTCCATGTCCAGCACACTGCTGATCTGCGGAGGGACATGTGCTGTGGTCGGGGCGAGGTTCCAGGGCCCAGCCAGCGTGCCCAACCCCAGGCAAGAGATGAGCCCTGAGCACTCGGGTCTCAGACAGTCCCCCTTGTACATACAACAGCTACTGGAAGGGGCAGGCAGGGGCTCTGACCCCATCTAACCCGACACCTCCACATGTAGATGCTGCCCCCAGAAGGGGGGCTGCTGGAGTACCCCAACAATGCCACCAGTGGTGGGGGCCTGGGCACCCTGACACTACACTTGGCCAGAGCTAGCCAGGCCCCGTGCAAACCCAGGGGTTCGAGCTGCAGATGCAGGTGATGGCGGGGGTGGGGCCTGTTATCAAGGATGAGTCCCGGGGACAGAAGAGCAGTGAAGGGATCCAGCGCACTGAGTGCAGGAGTGAGGCTGGGCGGGCAGGAGCTGGGGGCTGGGGGCTGGGACTAGGGACTGGCCGAGGTCTGGGCTGGTGAACTGGATGGTGATGGGCATCACGTTAGCACAGGAACAAGGAGTGGAAGGACAGTAAAAAAAGCCAAAGTCTGAGGTTTGGGGACAGGAGTGACGCCAGGCACGGAGGAGGAGGAGGAGGAGGAGGAGGAAGAGGGGACTGCAAGGATGGATGAGGCCGAGTGCGGATCCAGGTGTGGGATGAAGCCTGGGGGAGGATGAGGCTGGGCCGGGTCAGCAGAGGGCAGCGCTGGACCAGAGGCTGGGGTCACAGATGAGGGTAGGAGGGGCGCACTCACATCAATGGAACAGCCCAGCAGCGAGCCCCGCTCCAGCGCCTTGAGGATGATTTGGTAGAGGTCGCTGGGTGCCTTGCGCAGCTCGTACCACTCGGTGACGCCCCCTGTAAAGTCCTCGAAGCCTTCGGAGGTGCTGCCCCCCGACAGGGCTTCATAGCTGCCGTTCACCCTGTGGATGGCCCCAGGTCAGTGCTCTGGCGCCACGCAGGACAGTGGGCCCTGGGGTGGCCTGCAGCTGTCCCCTGGGCCCCTACTCACTTGGCATAGGCCTTCTCCAGCAGGGCGCTCCAGAACTCGTTGCCTTCGGCAGAGTGCACAAACACCAGCTTCCCGTCCTTGGTGGGCAGCAGGTCGTCCACCACCACGTCCACCCACTCGCCAAACTGCCACAGCTGTGTGGGGGTGGGGAGGGAGCGCAGTGAGAACCTGCTTCCGGACCCCCTGCCCCCAGCCTGCAATCGAGCCTCCATCTGCCACTTACTAGGTCGCGTATCCTAGAGGAAGTTATCCCCTCCAAGCCTCAGTTTCCCCGTCCACTAAAGGGATAGCAGTACCTTCCTCAAGGGGAAAACCAACCCGATCATGAGGGTAAAACTGCCCAAAAAGGGCAGCACTGCTGACATTTTTGAAACAGACCAAGTTTCCCAACATGCCTCTCCAGGTATGGAGAGGTTGGGAAGCTCCTGGGCTCTCCCTCCGAGAACCAGCCCCCGTTGGGACATGCCATTAGGACATGCCGTCACCGCTCCCCTCCGTGTTCTAGGCCCAGGTGCACGTGTGTGTGTGGGGGAGGGATACATATGTAAAATGGATGTGAACAGAAAATGTAACGTGCAGATCCTTCCACCACGAGATGGGCGGGGTTCGGTTCCTGCAATCACAGGGTTTGCTTCAAGAGGCCAGAGGGCCAGGTGCCCCGGGGAGGAGTCACGTTGTTGCCCGGGGCTGGAAGCAGCCCGGTGCTACGGGGAAGAAAGGGCGAGGAACAAGGGGGAAAGGGGAGCTGGTGCACCCATGCGGCAGGGGTACTGTGTGTGGGGTACGGGGTGGGGGGAATATAGAGCCAGCCAAAAGAGGGGTGAGGGAAGAGGGCAGGGAAAGGGGCGCTGAGGCCAAGCCCCTGCAGCAGCCTGGGCAGGTGTGGCACCTGGCCAACACAGACCACATGGGGACCCTGGGGACCCTGTGTGTCCTGTGCACTGTCTCCTCAAACAGTGGGTGAGGATGTATGCTAAGGGGGCTCCCTGACCAGGTGGGAGGGGGAGGACACCCAGGAGTCCCCGGGGCAGGGCTGGCCCCACTGGGGCCAGAGGGTCTCATCCAGTGTCGCTGGGGGCGTGTCTCGCCCCACACCAGCTCATTTAGAATTCATTAGTATGACTTGAAAAACGGGCTGGTTGTGCAAAAACAACGGCAGGAAAAACTGGCTTAAATAGACTTACTCCCAAGTCTTTCTTTTCTGCAGCGCTTTATCAGAGACCTGAGGTTGCCCAGGTTTGGCAGGGGTGGGGGGCAGAAGACTGACCCCACAGGGGAGATGGGCCACCTGTTTGCACCTAGTAGAACCCACCCCCCTCTTTTTTAGAAGAGGAAACCAAGACCTTGGGGAGGCAAAAGGATTTGTCTCACAGGATATAACAGAGATCTTTCTATTCTTTCAGGCACTGTCTTCCTGACACGCACAACCACCCAGGAAAATTGCAAAATACCTGCCCAACCGTTTCACACATGACAGATCCTAGGTGGCATCGAGAGGTCGCATACTTTCCGGAGGGAGGGCTGGCCCCTGCAGGCTGTGGCTCTGAGCCACCCAAACCTCAGACTGCTGCAGGCCCTCAGTCCTCACCTCGTCCGGGGCCTGCTCCTGCTCTCTCCCCCACCCCCTGCTCCTCACCTGGAAATGGAAGATGCCAGCATAGCCATCCTGGAAGCTTTGGCCGTGCGGAACCACTCGGTGCAGGAGGGTGTCATTGAGGGTGAGAGAGGCAATGGCAGCCAGAAGCCAACAGTCCCCTGGGATGGGAAACCCACATCAGACCTGCTCCACTGACCTGCTCCCAGGGGGGCACACGCTTGCCCATGCTGGGGAGAGCCGGGGCTTCCCTGGGCAGCGCACCCCTCAACCTGCAGCAGAGCCCCAGGAATCTGGGCAAACCGGCCCCAGCACTGACAGCCAGTCTGCCTGAGCTTGCAGAAGGGAGGGGTTGGGGCAGAGCCAGGGGAAACGGGCCTGGGGAACTCCTGGGGAGAAAACACCCAGAACCCCTCGGGCCTACCCAGTGCTCCCTGGCAGATGTCCGTGCGGGTGGCTCCATCCACGATGAACTGGGGGTTTGAGAGCAGCTCCTGCAAGAAACCCAGAGTCCTGTCTCTGGGCCAGTCCCTCCTGGAAATTGGGGCCCACCCATCCCAGACCCCACTCCCTACTAGGAAATTGGAGTTCCTACCAGAGACTCAGGATGGGGGTAAACTGAGTCCCTCCCAGGGTGGCCCCTCTTACCGTGGGACGCTTCCACTTGATACCATAGGTTTTGGAGGAGTTGGGGCCCAGGTCCTTGTAGCCCAGGCTCTGGGGCACTGGGGGGAAGGCCTCGTCGCGGAAGAGGGCTCCGCTCTGCAGGCAGCGAGACTGAAGCTGCTCGTAATCCTGGCCCATGTACTTGATGGCATTTTCGTGGCGGCCCAGGCCCAGCTCCTTGGCCCGCAGCTTCTGCACTTGTGCAGACACCCCGGTGCAGTACACCGGGGTGATGATCTCCTCCGCCATCCTGAGGGACAGACAGGCCTACTCCGAACCGAGGCCCTCTCAGGACTAGAACTGGGGCTCCTGCCTGCTCTTGCCCACCCTTCTTCCCCGAACCTGAGGTTTCCCCACATCACCGCTCCCCTCACTGAATTCAGGATTCTGCCACCTCCCAGGGCTCCCAGGAAAGGAGCTCCCCAGGCCCTGGGTGTGCTGGCCACCACCTCTCCCTTCCCAGACGCCCATTGTCCTCCGCCTGCAGTCCTGCGGTCTGCGGGACGGCCAGGTGGGGCAGGGCGGGGCCAGAGGTAACAGGGAACTAGGAAGGTGGGAAATCTCGGGAAAGGCTTCTTAGACCCTGTTGGCCTGCCTGTAAACCCCTCCCCAAACCAGGCAAGCTCCAGCCCGCTGCCCCTTTCCCTGGCGCGAGGGCTGAGAACGCCGGGCAGTCAGGGTCCGGTCCCCAGGCCCCAGAGACGGGCTGGGTGATCGGCGCTGGCCCTCAGTCCCTTCCCCTCCGGCCTTCCCTCTGCCCAGCCTCGGAAGACAGTGGTGCGCGCAACGGGGCTGCCCGGGGTCCGGGCGGCCCCTCAGTATCGAGCGGTGGCCGGGATCGAGAACCCCGGCCCCGCCACTCAGCTCCTTACCTGGAGGAGGAGTGTTTGGCGGGGGGGTCGCTGCGGTCTCAGCGGCTGCTTCCCGGTGGCAGGCAGCTCGGGGCAGGGCCCAACCAGGAAGAGCGCTCCTCCCCGCCCTTCTCCGCGCCCCTCCGCCCTCCCTCTTTCCTCTCCTCCTCCGGCTCGGGCCCGGCTTCCTCTCGGCTCCGCTTTATCTCTCGGGCACCTTCCCCGATTATCTCTCTTACTCACGGTGTCTTCCCGCCCCTTCCTCCCCGGCCCGCCGCCAGCCCCGCGCGAGGACAAATTAGTAAAAGGCAGAGTAGTCCCCGGGGAGGGGCCGCGCCAATCGGGGTGGGCAGGGCTGGGCCCGGGCTGAAGGGCACCGCGGGGGAGGGGGAGGGCAGGGCAGGGCAGCGGGTATTTTTAACCGGGGGCAGCAGCTCGAGTTGCAGCGCCCGGCGGCCCCACCCGACGCGGCAGCCCCCGAGCGCATTCCCGGGCGTCTGGACAGCCCCGGGCCCGGCTCCTCCCCGGCCCCGCCCCCGCGCGGCCGCAGCTGTGCCGACCCCCCGCCCTCGGGAGTCCGCAGTCGCCCGGCCGAGATTACCTCCGGCTGTGCGGCAGCTGCACCGCGCGGGGCTGGGCCGGCGGCGAGCCCTCCCGCCGGAGGCGCGGCGAACGGCAGCCCCACCCCGCGGGGTCGGCGCTGCAGCCTGGCTCCGGGGCCCAGCCGGCTCTGCGCCCCCGCCCAGCCCTCGCCCTGGGGAACGGGCTCTGGGCGCCTCCACCCCGCCCTAGCGGGTCCGTGCGTCGGGCGGGGCGCAGGGAGCCTGCACCCCCAGGCTGCGGCTCGCTGAATGACCTTGGGTGAGTCTCTTCTCCCGTCGGCTTGGCTTCGCAGCGAATGGGACGGATTTGAGCCGTGGTAGGGGCCCATCTTGCTCATGCACTTTGGGGTTTACTGACCCGGGGAGCGGCGAGAGGCGGGCAAGCCGCCCTCTGCCCCGAGACCTCAGCCCACCCTCGGGGCAGCGCCCATCTACAGGTGCCATTGTGCCCAGTAGGGGGCGGCAGAGGCTGCGGTTAGGACGACCGGCCCACAAGGGACGCAAATCCTGCCTCCCGAACTGCGAGAAGTTGGAGAAACGTGAAGTTGGAAAGACGGGGACTGCGGGGATCCCTCTGCTTAGGTCCCTTCACTGGCCTTGAGGGCCCCAGCCCAGCGGCGGCTGCAGCTCTTAGGAGGCGTATACACAAGCATTTTAGGGGGGGAACGGGGCATAGCTGTCCCGGGATCTTGGACCCATGACCCCAGGAAGGTGAAGAGCTACTCATCTAATCTGCCCCCACTGCCACTCCCACTTTACGAATGAGGAAAACTGAAGCCTGATAGGGCGTGACTTACTGAGCTCTCTGGCCCTGGTGAGTCAGGGCTGGAACAGCTCTGGGGTCCTTCGCTTGTCACCACTCAGCATTTATGTGTCCAATCTTGACTAAAGCCTCCTGGCAGGTCTTTGCACAGCAGACTCATGACTAAGGCGGAGGGGCTCCTGCTGGGGAAGGGGACTCTTGCAATCCAGTCTGGGGGTTAAGAAAGTTGAGTCCTGATGGACAAGTAGGAGTTGACCAGGTAGTGAGGTGCGGGAGACTGTGTGCCTAGCAGAAAACAGCAGGTATGAAGACGCAGAGGCCAGGAGAACCCGTACCCATGAGGGAAGCACCAAGTATCCTTGTGATTAGATCAAAGGGGACAGGGACCGGGAGAGTGAAGATGCTCTGGACAGGTAGCAAAGGTCACCCCTCCCGCCAAGCCAAAGCGCTCAGGTTCTCCCTACGGTCCCACGGTCCCCAGAATTACTTTCACAAACCTGTCGCTCCTCCTGACTGCGTTCCCTTGTTCACCCAATGGGCACTGGTCACCTCTTACATGTATCCAAGACACTGTGTTGGCCGGGGCATAAGGGGGTAAAGGCCCATGGCCACAGCCCCCTCTGAAGGAGGCAGACATTGACTCACTATCACCCCATAATTAATTAAAAGAAGAGCTGGTGCCAAGGAAGTGAGTGACTGAAGCCCTCCCTAATGTGGGAGTTAGAGTAGGCGTGGCAGACGCAGGGAGTCAGGGTAGCAGTGGGGGAGACTGCCCTGGGAGACCAGAGGACTAGGAAAGCAAGGAAGGGAAGCGTTGTGGTAGGGCTGGGTACACCACGTTGCGATTTTATTCTGCTCGAGCTCAGATTTGCACAAATGGAGCGGGAGGTTGGGCGGGTGAGAGGGGAAGCAGGGAGTCCAGGTAAAAGACTAGGAAGAGAGAGTGGCGTCAGGGAGGTGATGGGCACGAGACAGAAATAAGTGGACCTGGTGAGTGTTTAGGATACACCACATCAAAACTTAACTCGCACTGGATTATGCAGCTAAATGTCAACCCTAAAACTGTAAAACTTCTAGAAGAAAGCAGAGAAGAAATCTTAGTCATCTTGGGTTTGGCACAGATTTCTTAAAGATGACACATAAAACACAAACAATAAAAAATTGAGCTTCATCAAAATAAAACGTGTGTCCTTTAAAAGGTACTTTTATGAAAATGGAAAGCCACAAACTAGGAGGAAATAATTGTAAAAATTATATCTGACAAAAAGCTTGTATTTGGAATATATAAATAACTTTTTACAGCCTTTAAAAAAGAGAAAAAACACACTGAACATATGCTTACCACATGACCCAGCCACTGTACTCCTGGGCATGTCCCCCAGAGGAACGAAGGCCTGTTCTGCACGATGACGCGGGCATGAGTGTCCCCAGGAGTTTTACTTGGAACGGCCCAAACCAGAAACAACCAAATGTCCACCGACAAACAGCGAGTGGCCGAACACATCGTGGTATGCATACGATGCAGAATTCTACTCAGCAATAAAAGGAACAGTAACGTCTGAGGCTCAGAATAATTTATAGAACGTAGGAAGCCAGATAAGAGTACTTGCTGTGTAATTCCACTCACACAAAAATCCTAGAAAAAGGATGGCAATTCAGTGACAGAAAGCAGATCAGTGGTGGCTTGATGGTGCTGGCAGGTGGGGAAGGGCAGGAGGGAGGGATTATCAAGGGGCTGGAGGTAATTTATTGCAGCGATGGGCATGTTTATAATCTTGATTATGGTAATGATTTCTTGGAGATTTCTATATGTCAGAGCAAAAATGTACATTTTAAGTGCATGTGGTCCATTGCATGTGAACTATGCCTTAATAAAAGATGAGGTTTTCAATAAAAACCATTAGGGAAATGGCTTTTATTTTGGAAGAAAATGGAAGAAATTTTGTATCTAATAAATTACAGATGAACCCAAGATTTAAATATAAAAAGGAAAACAAAAATACAGCTAAGAGCTAAGGAAAAGCTTTTTTAGTTGTCTCAGTGTGGAAAAGTTCTTTTTATTTTAAGGTTTTATTTATTTATTTATTTATTTTAGAGAGAGGGCAAGGGAGGGAGAAAAACATCAATGTGAGAGAAATATCTATTAGTTGCCTCTTGTACACACCGTGACCAGGTCCTGAACCCACAGCCCAAATCCACAGCCCAGGCACGTGCCCTGTAGGGAATCCACCCGCCCAACAACCAATGAAGCCACAGTGGTCAGGGCTGGAAGAGGCCTCTTTTTTTTTTAACTTAAAAAAAAATCAAATATATATATATAAAAGATTTTATTTATTTATAAATATTTTATTTATTTATTTTTCGAGAGAGGGGAAGGGAAGGAGAAAGAGTGGGAGAGAAACATCAATGTGTGGTTGCCTCTCATGTGTCCCTGCTGGGAACTGGCCTGCAACCCAGGCATGTGCCCTGACTGGGAATCGAACCTCGATACTCTGGTTCGCAGGCCCACGCTCAATCCACTGAGCTATGCCAGCCAGGGCAAGATTTTATTTATTTATCTTTAGAGGAGAAGGGAAGGAGAGAAGGGGAGAAATATCAATGTAGGGTTACATCTCATGAGTCCCCTGCTGGGAACTGGCCTGCAACCCAAGCATGCACCCTGACTGGGAATCGAACCACGACTGTGTGGTTTGCAGGCCCGCACTCAATCCACTGAGCTACACCAGCCAGGGCATGGAAAAGGCCTTTTTAACTGTGACACAAAACCCGGAAGCCACACAAAAATTGATTCTACTATATTTAAACATCTGTCCAGTGAAGTTGAAATGATAAACTGAAGCAAACACAGTTTACAGCTTGAAGACCAGTTTTTCCTCCAAACCCTTAGACGTCAATCAGAAACCCAAACTAGCAGAGCAGTGGGCAAAGGCAGGCAGTTCGCAGAAAAGACAAACGGCCCCTAAATGTATGAGACAGAGCTCAAGCTCTCGAAGGAAGAAGAAAGACAAATTTAAATGTCACCAAGAGACTGTTTTCCACTTTTAATAAGATTAAAAACGAGGCCAAGATTAAAATTGGGTACCTGCCCTGACCCGTGTGGCTCAGCGGTTGAGGTGTCTTCCTGTACAGGGAAAGGTCACCAGTTCGATTCCTGGTCAGGGCATATACTGGGGTTGGGGGTTCAGTCCCCGGTTGGGGCATATATGAGAGCCAACCAAATGGATGTTTCTCCCCTTCTCTTTCTTCCTCCCTTCCCCTCTCTAACAACAACAACAAAAAATCAGGTCCTCACCTGTTGCTGAGTGTCCTGGCAAACAGCCCTCCCAGGCACTGTGGGGGGGGGGGCGGGCAGGCAGTGTAGGTATAACCCCCGCAGAAGAACATTTGAGAAAAATCATCAAAATGATGATTTTGACTTGGCCTTTGGTTGAACAATCCTTCTAGGAATTCAACCCACAGATAATATGTATTTTTTTTAATCTTTTTCTGCCCTGGCTGATGTGGCTCAATGGATTGAGTGCTGACCTGGGAACTGAAAGGTCGCCAGTTCAATTCCTAGTCAGGGCACCTGCCTGGGTCGTGGGCCAGGTCCCCAGTAGGGGCTGTGGAGATGCAAGCAATCGACGTCTCTCTCACATTGATGTTTCTCTCCCTTTTTCTCCTCCCTTCCCCTCTCTCTGAAAATAAATAAAATCTTTAAAAAATAATTTTAAAAGGGTGTAGCATCTTTTTCCTGATACTACTTCACATCAGACATGTGCTTTCCCCCCAGATATCAAATATATGTGGTTTTCCTTCCCATACCAATTCTCCAACTCTCCAGCACACATTGGGCACCTAGAATTCAGTTCAATTCCCAGATACTAATTCCCAGAGTCAGCACAGACCCCAAGGTTAACAGCTCAGTCCTCCACCACTCCAGCCACAATGGGATCCCCAGGCGACCCCACTCCTGTCTGGCCAACTACAAAGTTGAGAGGTCCGTGTCTCCCTCCTCAGGCTTGATAATAGTACTGGGTTCGGGGAACTCGGGAAAGTGCTTTACTTCACTGTTACCAGTTTATTAAAAAGGATACAACTCAGGAGCCACCAAACAGGAGAGATGCGTGTGACAAGGTGTTGGGGGATGGGGCACAGAGCCCCCATGCCTCCCCAGGTCAGCCTTCCTCCCAGCACATGTGTCCACCAACCCAGAAACGCTGAATCTCCAGTCTTTCTCCAGCACCCGGGGTGGAGAGAGGGAGCTGACAGTTCCCGCCCTGTAGCCTGAACTTTTTGGAGACCAGCCCCCACCGGAAGTCACTTATTAGCACAAACTCAGGTGTGGTCCAGAGGTGACTGACTCTTTACTCCTATGACTCAGGAAATTCCAGGGGTTTAAGGAGCTCTGTGCCAGGAACCTGGGGCAAAGACCAAATGTATGTTTTATTTATCACGCTGCATTTGGTAAAGTGGGTTAGATTCCTTTCTGGAAGGACATGAACTATTACTTTCATTGCTTCCAGGGACGGGAGCCAGGTGGCTAAGAGTCTGGAACAGGAGGTGACTCTTGGTTCAAAATTGAAAATGTACATGTGAATGTATCACCTATTTGAAAAGCAATAGAAAACCTCAGAGCCCTTGTCTTGGCTTCTAGTGCGCACAGTCTCCAGGCTTTCTCAGCGGGAGAATCTCCTCCACATTCCTGCCCTCTGGGCCCGGGACCTGCCCTGTCTTCTGTCCCAGCCCCAGACACACAGGCCCTCCAGCCTTGCTGTCCACAGCATTTTCCTCTTCCACTTGTAACACATTCGAGCTCTACTCTTCTTTTTTTCCTTAAGATTTTATTTATTTTCAGAGAGAGGGGAAGGGAGGGAAACAGAGAGGGTGAGAAACATCATCGGGTGGGGAAACATTGGTTGCCTGTCATGCACCCCCAACCGGGGACCTGGCCTACAACCCAGTCACATGCCCTGACTGGGAATCGAACCAGCAATCTTTTGGTTTGCAAGCCAGCAGTCGATCCACTCAGCCACACCTGCCAGGGCCAGCTCTACTCTTGACACGGTCCTAAACTTTTCTAGTATTAACCCATTCAGTGCCCATTTTAGCATAATACCCATTTTACAGATGAGGCAAAGGAGGAGATTAAATAACATTTCGAGTCCACGCAGAAAGCAGGAATTTGAACTTACGATGTCTGGCACTACGAAGAACACCTTCCTCATAAGCACCCCACCCGCCAACCCTCCTGGGCAAACCTGAACATCTGAAAGGCTCAGTTCAAAGCCCACCTCCCCTGGAAAGCCTTCCCTACCCCTTCCTGAACAAGTATGCTTTTGGGGAGGGGGTGTTCTATGGTAATTACATTGTGTTTGACTGCAGCCCGGGGCAGCACCCCAGTCATTCCCGAAACAGACCCGGCCCCCAGGCGTTTCGAGCACAGAGCTGTTTTCCAGGAGCACTTTTGGTCCAGGGGGCCCCAGGCCCTCCTCTGAGGGCTGCAGACCTCATTCAATCCACCCACACAGTGTATATCTCATCATCCGTGGGTGGGGTCATAGAAGGCAAATCAAGGCTACAGATGACCGGCCACCACTGGGAAGGAGAAGAGCTACCACAGAACTTGTAGTGTTCGTGGGTCTCAACCGCTGACATCTAAACCGGACAGCAGCCCCCCTCCCCCCACCAACCCAGCTCCTTCCCTCCCCCCCAACCCTCGGTCAAGGAGCTAGGCCAGGGCCTGAGCACAGCTGGTGTCCTGTGGACACGAGTTTATTGGGGGGGGTGCAGAATCGGAGTGAGTACAAGCTGCAGACTGGGAGGAGGGGGCAGGGGGCTTGGGCAGCAGTAGCAGCCTGAGGCCCACAAGACAGGAGGCCGGGGCACCGCAGCCCATAGAGCATCCAGTGGGCAGGCAGGCGGGGGATGCTCTTCACCCTGCGGGTGTCGGGGCCTAGGGCACTGATGAAGGCTTTGGGAGGACCCGGGGGAGAAGGACAAAGAGGGACTCAGAAGGTGGCAGAGCTGGGACACGTGCCCAGACCTGCTGGTCCCCAGGCCAGGTGTCCTGAAGCGCTGGTGTTCCTTCCTCTTGTTCTCTCAGGCCCCACACCTGCTTCCCAGGCTCCCAAACCCACGCCCCTCCATCTCCTGTCCCCAACTCACTGTGGAGGGTGTAGGTACCTGGCTCCAGATGCAGCTGGGGGGGCAGGATCATGAGGAAGCCCGCACCCCAGGGGTCTTCAGCCACTGAGAGACAAGCATGGGAAGGAGGGCGGTACCACTCAGGGTTGGGGGAAGGACACGTGGGTAAGACAGGCAGGGGGCGGGACTGGTGGCAGCACTGGCCACAGAGTGAGGGCACACCACAGAGGGAACAGTAGGGTGGCGAGAGGCCGGGGCCCCGCGGGAGGGGAACCTTTGGGCAGCTCCTCTGAGCCCCGCCGTGGTGGGGGCGCCGCTCCCGAGTCCAGGCCCAGTGGTACGGCTCCTTGGCCATGACCTGGCAGGCGTAGAGTAAACAGTAAATCGGGTGGGATGGCCAGCCTCCTTTTCCCACCCCAGGACGCCATCCGGGCCTCACCTCCTCACAGCACTGGCGGCTCACAACAGCCCGGAAGCCCATCCTTGCCCACAGCTTGTCCCTCTGATGCAGGAAGTCTGCCACCTGACTATGCCAGTTTTTGCCCAGGGCCCATAGAAAAATCACACATTTGGCATCCTCCAGGTCCTCCTCCATGTCATTTGCAAGGAACCTGGCCACAGAGGCGGGGGTTGGGCAGAGGCAATAAACATCCTCCCTGCCCCGTCCTACAACTCAGAGCAAGTGCCTCCGCCACCTGCTGGGGACACTCACAGTGCCAAGAACAGGTTGCTGCAGGTGTACTCGCTGAGCTTCAGGTTGGCACGCCGGAAGTAGACTAGCACCATGGCCAGGAGGTACTGCAGACACAGAAGGGGGAGGTCAGAGTTAGGCACTGGGAGGGACGGGACTGTGTCAGGCCCATTTGCTCCCAAGGAAGTTCTGGTGGGGGCTAGGAAAACGGGCAAAACGTGAGGAGGGGTCTGCAGAGACAAGGGTTGAAAAGGCAGGTGCTCCCTGCACCAGACGATGGGACCCAATGAATCAGCAGCACAAGAGGCCCACTGCTCCAACCTTCCTCAAGTGACCCCAACTTCTACCCACACTGTGTCCCCTCACCTTATCTGAAATCTGGAAACAGGGATCTCTGGAGAGGAATTCCTGAAGGAAACTGTGCTCTGGGCGAAGAAAGGAGAAATAGGAGGCTGGGGTTACCACCCACCTCCCACGAGACCACTTTCTGGAACAACCCTCTGCCCCCACACCTGCCAAACCAGGGTCACCTGAGAAGGGAAGGGGCTTCAGACCCTCTTATGGGCAGTCAGAGATCCCACCTCTCATGTTGGCCTCAAACGTGGTCCTTACCGCCCTCTCCCGTGCTGGCCACAAGTCAACTCACCCAGAAGGTGGAGAAAGGCCTGAAGCTCCTGGTGCTGGCGGGAATAGAGAGCCCCACTGCCCCCATCTCCATGGCTCCAGCCCCACAGCTTCACCTGGGTGGCAACCACATGGGCAGGGTCTTGGGCTTCACTCATCTCATAGGGGGTGGGGACGGGTGGGGTGGGGTGGGGGTGAGTGCCCTGTAGAGAGAGGAGCCCCATTTCTTAGCACCTGTCCCCTCACCCCCAACAGATCAAAGGGGCTGGTGAGGTTGGTCAGAGAGAGGCTCTCTGAAAAGTGGAGGGATGAAGATGGGGACTCGGGGGCTCGAACAGGACACTGGGCGGCCGGGAGAGCAGGGAGGCCAGAAAAGCAGTAGCTCCCACGCCCACCCTGCCCTCCAGCCTGGGCCTGGGAGTGAGAACAGCAGCACCACTGAGGGCGCCCTAGGTGCCTGGAGCTGTGCTAAGTGTTTTAATGGCTTTTTCATACCGGTTGGTAGGTATAACCCATTTTGCAAACACAGGAAGAAGTGCGGAAGACTCATGGCCACCTAAAAGTGGAGCCTCTCTGCCCCCTAAAGCCAAGGAGTTTGATTGCGCCTCTTGCCCCACCCCCACTCTTCACAATCTCCTCACCACGCACCAAGATGGCAGACTTTACAGAATTATCAACCCCTTACTTCGCGGAGGGAAACTGAGGTCCAGAAAAAGGGATGTTATTATACAAATCCTTGGGGCCACCTCAAATATTTCAAGCCTGAAGGACTCAGGAGAAAGTGCAGCCCACCACCCTGTAGTGGACCGGGGAGCCTCCATCTAGGAGCCCACAGGCAGGCCAGCCTTCCCCCTCGCTCCAGAAGCCTCACCTGAGCTCAGGGATTACCTACAGCATAACCAGCGACCGCTAGCCATTGCCTTTATATAGCCCCAGAGATGCCACGCCCACAGCACTCCACCAATCATATCCCGGCCTGTGGGTGGGGCTTTGGGCTATTCCCACCTAATTCTACCTGGAGTAAATCCAGCCTCTGCCAGCTGCCCAAGGTAAAATCTCCAAAGCTTCATCACCTACAAGGAGGGGTGAAGGCCGACCAGCTGGACCCCATGGCCTGAGAGGCGGCAGGGACCCTCCCCACCTCTTGACAAATGCAGAGCCAAGGTGCATCCTGGAAACGAGGCCTGAGCTGTGCCAGTGACTGACGGGTAAATGAAAAGTCCCTAATTGTGCCTTCCCGCGGCCGGGGCGCAGGATGTGTCTGTGTTTTCTTCAGATCCAGGAATCCCAAAGCCTGGGGGCCAGAGAGGAGATTGTCCAGCCACGAGGATTGGCAGAGGCCACATCCTCTTCCCAAGATCCTTTGCGGTAGAGTGGGCCTGACCGGTGGCTCCGGGTTGGCAGAGGAGGCCTCTGCCCAGGCCACCGAGCTGCCCCCGCCCCACCGCACCCCACGGTCAGCAGCCCTAAGCCTTTCCTCCTTCCCGCCTTCGCTGACTCAGTCACTGGCCGGCTACAATCCTATGGGACGACGGGCACCGACGTGTCTTTCCACGTTCGACAGATGACTTTCTCCCCATTTGGGGCGAGGGGGTAAAATACACATAACATAAAAGTTACTCCCACCATCTTTTTTAAGTTGGGCGTGTTTGAGTACATTCATACTGTGAAACCAACAACTAGCATTCATCTCCAGAAGTCTTCATTTCGCAAAACGGGATCTCTACACCCATGAAACACTAGCTGCTTGTCCTCCCTCCCCCGCCCCTGGTGCCCCCATTCTGTTTCCTGGCTCTGTGAGCTCAGCTGCTCCAGGTGCTTCACAGAGGTGGAATCACGTGACATCTGTCTTTCCGTGACTCTCACTGCACTTCGCGTAATGTCCCCAGCATTTACCGTAGCATTTGTCAGAATTTCCTTCCTTTTTAAGATGAAATTATATTGATTCTATGTACACGCCCCATTTCGATGCCACGTGTCCGTCAGTGTGCACTTAGGGCTGTTTCCACACCTCGGCTGTTGTGAATGACGCTGCTGTGCACACAGCTGTGTGAGTATCTCAAGACTCTGCTTTCAGTACTGGGTTATACACCCAGAAAGTGGAATTGCTGGGTCTATTTTTAATTTTTGGAGGAAACATTACATTGCTTTCCCCGGCGTTTGCACCATTTGACATTCCCACAAACTGAGCAGGGTTCTCACTTCTCCGCATACTTGGCCAACACTTGTTTTTTTCTGTTGTGTCAATATAACCAGGCTAACAAGTGTGAGGTAGTAACAGATGACTTCAAATATGGATATAATTGCCCTGATCCGTGTGGCTCAGTGGGCTGGGCGCCGTCCTGCTCAGCACAAGGCCGCCAGTTCCATCCAGGTCAGGGCACAAGCCTGGGGGGGCGGGCCAGGTCCCCAGTCAGGGTGCAAGAAAGAGGCAACCGAGTAATTGTTTCTCTCACTTCTCTCGCACATCGCTGTTTCTCCCCCTCTCTTTCTCCCCACCTTCCCCTCCCTCTAAAAATAAATAAAATCTTTTCTAAAAACATGTATCTCATAGAAATGGAGGCCCCTGAGGAGCTGACTAATTTGGGCTTTATCAAAGCCTTGCCGCTGTGCTCGCTTTGACAGCACACAGACTAAAATTAGAACGATACGGAGAAGATTCGCGTGGGTCCCGCTCAAGGATGATGCGCAAGTTCGTGAGGCAGTCCATTTTTTTTTTACCAACATCGCCCCAATAAACTTACAGGAATTAAAAAAAACAACCCAAAACAAAAGAAAAGGGCTGCCGCTGCCGACAGCAGAAGTGGGCTCGGCCACGCATCCCACACGCCCTGGGGCTGGCACTGTGAAGCAGGTTTTATGGTCTCATCTGCATTCTCATCAGACTGGAAGCTGAAGCTCAAGAACCCAGTCTCCTGACATTTGAATGACAGATGAAGGAGATGCGGGCCAGCCCAGGTGGGTGGTGGGGCGCAGGGCCAGGTGTGCTCTGGACCCAGACCCCTTCCTGTGACACCACTGCTCTTCCCTGGTGGGCCACCAGCACCAACATCTGCTTTGCTCCGGTCTCAGGCCTCAGCCCTGGTGGCCAGTACGGATTTTCACTCCTAGGGGCCTCCCCTCCCTTTCTGTGTCTCTCAGTGTCCCTCAGTCTCTCTTGCTCTCTGGGTCTCTCAGTCTCTTGACCTCTCTGAGTATCTCTGAACTCCCAGTCTCTCTGAGCGTCTGGATATCTTTGAGTCTCTGGGTCTCTTAGTGTCACTGGGTCTCTCTCTGTCACTCAGTGTCTGTGGACTCCCTCCGATCTCTCTCGGTCTCTGGGTCACCATAAGCATCTCTGCATCTCGTGCTCACTCTGGGTCCCTTGGTCTCCGCGGTGTCCGGGTCTCTCCAGGTCTTTGGACCTCCCTTGGTCTCTGGGTGTCTTCGAATACCTTGGTCTCTCAGTCTTTCTGGTCTGAGCCTTTCCTTTCCTGGGGTCTCGTATCTTGGTGTCTCTATGCTCTCTGGGTTTCATGGTCTCCCCTGGCCACCTTCCTTGCCCCATGAGGCCAGTGAGGCCTTCCCTAACCACCTGGCCTCCATCAGGACACTCTGTTTTGTATACGTGTGTGTTTTCCTCACGCATTTGTTGTCGGCCTTCTCCAGAAAGGAAGCGGTGACTCTAGCAACCTCCAGAGCAAGCCCCGCAAACTTACTAAAGAGGCTATAATTGGCTCCGCCACTGTGGCTTGTTCGGGCCTCATCCAGCAAACCGAAATGCCCCCAATTCAGTTCCGGGTCGGGCACATGCGTGGGTTGTGTTGGGGCACATATGGAAGGCAGCCAACTGATGTTTCTCTCTTGTATAGATGTTTCCATCTATTTCTCCATCCTTCCCCTTTCTCTTAAAAAAGAAATAATAATAATAATAAAGAGGCCATAACTGAATGAGCTCACATGTTATTCATAGCCACATTTTACAAATGAAACCAACAGCAACTAAAGCACAGACTTGGGTTACTGCTGAGAGGGAAAGTAACTTGCTGCCAGTCACACCGTTAGTGCATGGAGAGCCACGTTTCAACCTGGCTGCCTGGCACCTGGCACAGACCCCACGTTGAAGCCTCAGCCAGGGACCTGAGTTTCTGGACTGAACCTGTCACAGAGAAGGTGCCCAGTAAAACTGAATGAACTCCCAGGCCAGCTGTGTTTCCTACCTCTCTCTTTCCCTGCACCATGCATAAGGCTAGAGGTCAATAAGGGGGCACAGAAAAGCCTGCCTTAACCCAGCAGTGCCTTTTTAAAACTTTTTATTTTGGAAGAATTTAGGCACACAGATGTTACTAAAAAAGTATGAAAACTTTTGTGTCCCCTTCCCCCAGCTTCCCCCGATGCTGACATCTCACATAACTACAATGCGGTTAGAACCAGGAAACTCACACTAGTACAACACAAAACTACAGATCTTATTCGGATTTTACTAGCACCCACTTAAATTTTTTGGTGTCTAGTTCTATCAGTTTTATCCTATGCGCAGACTGGTGTAAGACCATCTCAATCAGGAGTAGGACCCTCACGTCATTCCTTTTCCCTGATGCTTTCCCTTTAAGAGTTACAGCCTTGTAGCTCAGTGGATTGAGCGCAGGCCTGTGAACCAGACAATCGCGGTTCGATTCTCAGTCAGGGCGCATGCCTGGGTTGCAGGCCAGTTCTCGACAGGGGTCGCTCAAGAAGCAACCATACATTGATGTTTCTCTCCCTCTCTCCTTCCCTTCCCCTCTAAAGATAAATAAATAAAATCTTAAAAAAAAAAAAAAAAAAAAGAGTCACAGCCTGCCCCTAGCTACCACTGATCTGTTCTTTACCTCCGCAATCCTGTCATGTTAAGAATATTATATGGGGGGTGGGCTGGGGTGGGAGTAAAAGACAGAATACTGTAATTGAAAAATAATTAAATAAATTAAAAAAAAGAATATTATATAAATGGCAGTGGATTGAGCTCGGGTTGTGAACCAAAGGGTCGCCAATTGATTCCTAGTCAGGGCACATGCCTGGGTTGCGGGCCAGGTCCCCAGTAGGGGGTGAGTGAGAGGCAACCACACACTGATGTTTCTCTCCCTCTCTTCCTCTTTCCTTTCCCCTCTTTCTAAAAATAAATAAATAAAATCTTTAAAAGAAAAAAACCTGGGCCCACACGGCCCAGTCTTTAAAAAAAAAAAAAAAGAATATTATATAATGGGCCCCAGTCAGGGCACATGCCTGGGTTGCAGGGCCAGGTCCCCACTTGGGGACACAAGAGAGGCAACCACACACTGATGTTTCTCTCCCGCTTTCTCCTTCCCTTCCCCTCTCTCTAAAAATAAATAAATAAAATCTTTTTAAAAAGAACATTATATAAATGGGATCATACAGTATGTGATCTTTACAGACCCTTGTGAGTAAATTGGGCCCACCTGAATAATCTAAAATACCCTCCTCCATGTCCATTTCTTTTATGTATTTTATTTATTTTTAGAGAAAGAAGAAGGGAGGAAGAAGGAGAGGAAGAGAAACATCTATGTGTGAGAGATACATTGATCCGTTGCCTCTTGCAAGCCTGCAACTGGGGACCTGGTCCACAACCCAGGCATGTGCCCTGACTGGGAATCGAACCAGCAACCCTTTAGTTTGCAGGCCTGAGCTCAATCCACTGAGCCACACCAGCCAGGGCCATCTCAATTTCCTTAGCTGCAAAGTCCCTTTTGTCTCGTGAGATAATCTGTTCACAGGTTCCAATGACTTAGATGTGGACATATTTGGGAGGTCATTATTCTGCCTACCACATTTATCACTTCATAATTTATGCTGAGCTAACTACTATTTATGAAATGATATATTAGCACCGAATGCCATTTATAAAAAATATACATAAAACACAAGGATATAAACAATCTGAGTATAAGGATAGAAAAACATCAGGCAAATGCCAAAAGAAAGTTGAGGTAGTGATATTATCATCAGAAAAACGTTAATTTTAGGTTAAACACATTACAAAGAAAGAGTGTGTTTACATAGTAATTTTTTAAATATACAGCAGCACTGAAGGAGTGTTTAAATTGGTTGGAACTTCATCTTGTTCACCAAAAACTTTGTAGTTTCTATCCCTGGTCAGGGCACATACCTAGGTTACAGGTTTGATCCCTGGTTCGGGCTCATACAGGAGGCAACCAGTTCTTGTTTCTCTCTCTCTCTCTCTCTCCCTTTCCCTCTCTCTAAAGTTAGCAATTAAAACATCTGTTAAATGTATATATATATCAATTTTGCCCTGACCTGTGTGGCTCAATGTGTTGGGTGTCATCCTGCAAATCAAAAGGTCGTCAGTTCAACTCCCAGTCAGGGCACATGCCTAGGTTGTGGGTTTGGTCCCCAGTATAAAAGGCAATCATCAATGTTTCTCTCTCACATTGATGTTTCTCTCTCTTCCTCCCTCCCTTTCCCTCTCTCTAAAAATAAATAAATAAATAATCTTTTAAAAAGATGCCTAATAAAAGTAGAAGAAATAAAATAATACAGAGCAGACATTAATAAAATAGAAAACATAATGGAAAAATGAAAAAAGTATCATTTGGTTCTTTGATGACACCAATAAAAATGATAAATGTAGCAACGAGAGTTCAGAATATTTTTTTAAAGAAGGCAAAAATTAATAACAGGAATGTAGAAGAAGATAAAACTATACCTGGTAGACAATAAAAATATGAAGCTGTTATGAATAATCTTATGCCAACTTTACATTTTATATATAAAATGTGTATTAATTTTATATATTTATATTTAAATTTGTATGAAAATAGACAAGTCTCTATAGAGAAATAAAACTCAGCAAAATTAAAACAAGTAGAAATAGAAATCCTAGGTAGTCCTAGAATAGTAAACAAATTGAATCAGTACACAAAATCTTATCACAAAGAAAACTCAAGACCTCCATGTCTCCACCAGTAAGATTACTCAAACACTCAAAGAACAAATAATGTTCTCTGTGCAAGTCCTTCCGACTTCCTTTACACAGGTCATACAGGCAGCAGGCTTGACACCACAAACTGATAAGGACCTCATGGCAAACCAACACTGCAGGCTCATTAACACAGATGTAAATGTCCTAAGCAAATTATCAGTAAACTGAACAGACTCTTGTAATGTATAAAATAAATAACATACTGTGCCCATGTTGGATTTATTCTAAAAGTGCAAAGTTAGGAGATGAGAAATTTTATTCGTGCAATTTACTCCTTTAACAGATTAGAAGAACAACTGCAGCGTCTCAGTGAATCCAGAAGGCATGTGGCCAGGCCCAGTGACACAGGCCCCACAGGCCCCGTCACAGCAGGGGGGGCACGTGCTTAAGAGCAAGGGGCTGGACAGAATGTTTGAGCAAGTTTTTTCCTCCCCGCCCTCCCCTGCCCTCCCCTTTCCTTTTTTTTTTTTTTTTTTTTGTTCTTGTTGAGCCAGCTGTTGAGATGGGATCTAGATGTTGGAAGCTTTCTCTGGAGTGCAGTCAGTTTTGCATGGAAAAAGCAAATCCTTTCAATTCTTAACTGGAACATTTTTATAAGCATATACATATATATACACACACATTTGTAAATATATATGCCTATAAGTATATATATTTTATCCTCACCCGAGGACATTTTTTCATTGCTTTTAGAGAGAGAGGAAGGGAGAGAGAAACATCTGTGAGAGAAAAACTGATCGGCTTCCTTCCGCCAGGCGCCTGGATCAGGGATCCAACTTGCAACCTGGGAACGTGCTGTGACCGGCTATGGAGCCCACGACCTTTCTGTCTATGGGATGACTGCTCCTGGCCCTGCTGAGCCATACTGGCCAGGGCTCTAAGCATATTTATAATAAAATAATCATTTGAGTTTTTGAGAAAAATGAAAGTATGGTAATGAGTTTGAAAATATACAATTGGGGGTGTGGTATCTTGGGGTGGTAGACAGAGATGTGATGGGCGGAGGAAACCGGGAAACGGCAATGTTGCTAATGTCCTGGTTCTCAAATTGGGGTGTTATTTTATTATTTACTCCATTCTTTATGTATATTTAACACCAATTATTGTGTTTATATCACATATTTCATAATCTTAAAAAGTGAACTCCACATGCTGCCTCCAAACCTCTCTCTGGGATTCTCCATCTTAGAGAAAAATTGCACCTTCCACACAGGAGCCTGGGGCCACTGGGCTTCTCCCTTTCCCTCTGCCCCATGCTTAATCAGATGCTGAAATCTGGCGCTGCACACCTTCGCCACCTCCGTCCGGCCTGTGCAGCCCAGAGCTGGCTCTCTTTAGCCCTTCCTGAGCGGCTGCATCAGCTTCCCGACCAGCTCAGCCGGCACGCCCCGCCCCCCTTCGGTCCCCCACTCCACTGCGGCCAGGGATAATATTTCCCGGTGGAGATATGTCCAACCACCTCCTGCTGGGGCAGTATCTTTCCACTGACCCTACAGTAAACCCCTAAGTCATTAAGACGCTGTGTACATGGCGTGTTGAACTGGCTCCGCCTACCTCTTCTGACTCCTTTTCTGCCATTCTCAGCTTCACTCCCCAAGCATCAGGTATCCTGGGATTCTCTTTGTTCCCTAAAATACACCCAGAGTTTCAAGTCAGAGGGTCTTCCCCCTGACTGATCTTTCCACCCACTCTACCCTCTAATCATCTTACAGTTCCATTTAAAACATCACTTCCTGCCCTGACTGCTGTGGCTCAGTGAATGGAGCCAACGGGCCTGTGAATCAAAGGTTCAACAGTTTGATTTCCAGTCAGGGCACATGCCTGGCTTGCAGCCAGGTCCCCAGTAGGATGCACAAGAGGCAACCACACACTGATATTTCTCTCCCTCTCTTTCTCCTTCCCTTTCTCTTTCTCTAAAAATAAATAAATAAAATCTTAAAAAAATAAAAGGTCACTTCCTCATTCATTTCTTTATTTTTATTATTCACTACCAAGTGTAGCCTTTGAAAACCTCCTTCTTGTATGATCTGTTTCCCTTTCTATATTCCCTGACTTCCAGACTAATGCAGGTCTCCCAGGAACTCCAAGCCGACCGCAGAGCCACAAGATAGGAGGAGCCTGGGTTCTCCAATAACCAAGTGGGAACCTGCCTTCCAGTCACTCCTCTATCAGAGATATATTGGTTATCTGCTATTGTAGAAAAATTACCCCAGAACTTCATGGTTTAAATTTTAAAAATTATTATGAGTAGTAAATTTCCTTATCCTCTATGTTGATGAATTAAATTTTGCCTCAGTCTGGGTAACCGTTTGTGACCTTTAATCTTCTAAACCCACTTATATTTATTTTTTTAAAGATTTTATTTATTTTATTTCTCGACAGAGGGTAAGGGAGGGAGAAAGAGAGGGAAAGAACCATTAATGTGTGGTTGCCTCTCGCACACCCCCTGCTGGGGACCTGGCCCACAACCCAGGCACGTGCCCTGACTGGGAATCGAACCAGCAACCCTTTGGTTTGCAGGCCGGTGCTCAATCCACTGAGCCACACCAGCCAGGGCTAAACCCACTTATATTTCATCCTTAGCAAAAATATGTCCTGGGAATGCTTATTCTATTTTAATATCTACTTAAATATTTTAAATTATTTTGGTAAAACTTTTAACATATGATAATCACGTAGTATGATATTTCAAAGTATAGTTTGTCAATTATTCTCCAGTAAAGCTGGAATTTTGAAAAAATAAATATGTTGGACCTGGCTCATGTGGCTCAGTGGATTGAGTTGCCAGGCTGTGAACCAACAGGTTGCCAGTTCAATTCCAGGTCAGGGCATGTGCCTGGGTTGCAGGCTCTGTGCTCTAACCCCCGTCAGGATGCTTGCTGAACGCAGAAGGCAAACGATTGATGCTTCCTTCTCACATAGATGTTTCTCTCCCTCTTTTTCTTCCTCCCTTCCCCACTCTCAAATAAAATAAAAACAGCCCTGGCTGGTGTAGCTCAGTGGATTGAGCACAGGTCTGTGAACCAAAGGATCACAGTTCAATTCCCAGTCAGGGCACATGCCTGGGGTGTAGGTCAGCTCCCAGTGGTGACGTACGAGAGGCAACCATACATTGATATTTCTCTACTTCTCTCCTTTTCCCCTTCCCTTTCCCTCTAAAGATAAATAAATAAATAAAAATCTTTAAAACGGAATCCTGGAATTGCGTGTCACCCTGGCACAGGGATCAGCTGATCTTCTCTGTATCCTTCCAGTATTGGTATATGCGCTGCCCAGGCAAGCACTCAAAGTGAATTTTAAGGTCACCTTGTCAATTTCTGCAGTAAGGGCAGATGGGATTTTGACAGAGATTGTTGAATTTTTAGATAATTTTGTAGAGCAAAACAATATTAAGTCTTCGAATAGAAGACTTAAACAATATTAAGTCTTTGAATCTATGCTTACCAGTTATCTATTTATTCAGATCTTTAATTTCTTTCAATGTTTTGTAACATTTAGTGTACCAACCTCATACTGCTGTCACTAAATTTACTCATAAGCATTTTTTGTGTGCATTGCAAATAGAATTATTTTATTGATTTCTGTTTTTTATTGATTTCATTTTTGGATCGTTCACTACTAGTATATAAAAATACAACAGATTTTTGCATATTAATCTTCTATTCTGCAACCTTGCTGAACTCATTCATAAACTCTAATAGTCGCTAGAAAGGCAAAGAGAGCTTTATGGGGAGTCAACTCAGTGACGGGTTACCAGCCAAACTGAAAAAGCCAATTGAGGTCAACAGGTGGTGGCGAAGGTGGCTGAGGCCAATAAAACGGTACCCAATGCCAATTCCAGGACCGGTCTTGATAAATCTCTGGACTTCAATTGTCCCACGTATAACATGAGAATAGCAACACCTAGCTTATAAACTTAAATGATTGATAGGTAGATCTAAGACGACAAATTTGCAAGGCACAAAGTGGGTGCATTAGTCCATTAGCTCCATTCTGCCAAAGAACAGACTGGGTTGGCGCTGACCCAGACACAAACTGAAATACCGGGCAGCACGAGAGGAGCTGGAACTGTGCCTATGGCCCAGAACTGATTATACAAGGGCAGTAAAGCTACAGGTACGGGGAGGCTTGCGGGAACGCAGCTTTGAAATCAGTCCTTTTGCACAAACCATTCCCACTCCACGATTAACTGTATTAAAGGTCTGCCTTCTCCTCAGCCCCTAGCGCACTTGACTGCCCCTCCTCTATGTAGCGCAGCAAACGTTCCCCGAGGCGGTTAGGATCACCCACCCGCCCATTGACAGTACCTTCCCCCGCCACTCCCCGCCCACTGGGGTTGGACCTAGTCCTAGGCAACGCTGCCTTCCGCCCCTAGCAACCGCTCACCTGTTTTCTCGTCCTATAAGCCAGTAAATTTCCTTTATTTTTCTTATTGGTCCTCGTAACTCTACCTCGACCAATCAGTAGCAGCCACGGAGACCCAACTCTCTCCTATACAATTTGGGGGTAATCATGGAGGAGACAGATTATTTCCTTTTCTGAATCCAGCTTTCCCAGAAAGCTTCTTATTTGTCAAACTGTTGTAAGTCTCCCCGGAATGAGTTTCTAAAACATTAATCTTAAGCCCGTAACGTCTATTGCCCGCCTACTTCCCCCCTTCCACATGGTACGTCCCGCACGACGCTCCATCTTCCAGCCACTTTGGGAGTCTGAGTCCTAGCTACTCAGTGACTGAGACAATACCATTTCTGATTAATAAACAGGGAAACTCTAACCATCCCCCGGGTTGCCCTATTCCGCTCCGACCACATATTACATCTCTTGTTGGAACCGTGGGCACGATATGGTTGGTGGAACGACTGCTCCCAGCACCACAAAAGGCACGCGATGGGGATGAGAAAGGGTGCACTTGGTACAGTCCACGCCTCGCCCCGCGTTTCCGGAAGTGAGGTGTCTCACCCTCGAAGTTCCGGCTCGCAGGGGGTGGAGGAGTGTTGTTAACCGGGACGCCTCCGCAGTTGCGGGGATTGAGCGGGCTTGCGGCGTTGGGCTCCTGGTGAGTGGATCGTGGTTGGGTCGGGGTTGTGGTTGGAGTCGGGACCTGGACCTTCCCCTTGAGGTCTCCGGGGTTGGCGCGCCCCTCCGCCGGTGACTCACTTTCGGCCTGTCAGCTGGTGGTAGGTAGACCTCAGGCACCCTCGCAGCCTCTGTCTCCGAGGTTGGGCCCCTCCTGCCTCGCTCGCCGTTCCTGGCGCTTGACAGGTGCGCTACCAGAAGGCGATCCCGGTTCTTCTGAGTCTCGCCATTGCATCCTGTCGGTCGGCCGTTTCTCCGGTGCCCTGAGTTGACGCTGCCCCGGGGGTTGGGGGGCAGCAGGGTTCCAGACTGATGGGCCTCGCCCGCTCCCACGGGGCGCGTGTCGGATCTGTCCACTCCGGCACTCTGGCAGAGCTGTCACCGGCTCTGTCGCCTGCCCAGCTGTGCCCCGCAGCTCCTCGGCTTCTCCCAATCGAGGCCGCACGTTCCCGCCTCTGGAGTTGTCTTTTGCATCCCATAGCATCATCTTCACTTTTAGGTAGTAGTTCTTCCCCTTCAAATATTGCTGCCTTCCCTCATTACTCCCTAGGGGCGGCAGCTTGGCAGGCAGGCAGGCAGCGAAGAAAGAGCCCTAGATTTAAGACAAAACTGATCCAGGCACCAGTGTGATCACTTAACCACTTTGAGTCTGTTTCCTGTTTGCAATATGGGGGAGTGAGTCTGTGCTATTCTTGATGTGATTGTAAGGGTGAAACGAGTTGTACTTTCTTCTATTAACTGACTCTGGGTTTCAGGCACTTGCTAGGCTTGCACGGTATGGACATCATACAAATCATTCTTTCCTTTCCCATGCAGGTTTCCAGGCCAGGGCCATGTTCCGCACCGCAGTGATGATGGCCGCCAGCCTGGCGCTGACTGGGGCAGTGGTGGCTCATGCTTACTACCTCAAGCACCAGTTCTACCCCACAGTGGTGTACCTGACCAAGTCCAGCCCCAGCATGGCAGTGAGTTGAAGAGGCTTGGGGAGGAGGAACTCCTGGGAGGAAAGGAGGAGGTTGCTTGAGAAGGGGTGGGGCTAGAGGGCGAGTGGGAGAGAAGTCGCCTCCAGCTGCTTAACTCTGAGTAAATTGTGATTGGGATGTGGGGAGGTTCCTGAATGCTGAACCCCAGGCAGAGCAAAGCGGAAGCTGACTGCAAACCAGAGCCTCTCTTTACTCCTAGGTCCTGTACATCCAGGCCTTTGTTCTTGTCTTCCTCTTGGGCAAGGTGATGGGCAAGGTGTTCTTTGGACAGTTGAGGGCAGCAGAGATGGAGGTAAGATGTTTGTGGTCTCAAAGTGAGGGCCAGGGAGCTGGACGAGCACGTTGTCTAAGTTCCACATTATTTCTCGCCCAACCCCCAGCACCTTCTAGAACGTTCCTGGTATGCTGTCACTGAGACTTGTCTGGCCTTCACTGTCTTTCGGGACGATTTCAGCCCTCGCTTTGTTGCACTCTTCACTCTCCTTCTCTTCCTCAAGTGTTTTCACTGGCTGGCTGAAGACCGTGTAGACTTTGTGAGTCGGGTCAGGGATTCTCTGGAGCAGACAGAAGCCAGAGTGGCTGGTGGGCAGGCTTGTGGAGGGAGGGCTGAATCTGGGTCTGGGATACGGGGTGAGCTCCAGCTTTCCTGACAGGACCCCTCTTCTGCTCTGCCTCAGATGGAACGCAGCCCCAATATCTCCTGGCTCTTTCACTGCCGCATTATCTGTAAGTGAGACCCATGCAAGGGGTGAGGAGGGAGAGGAGGCACCGTGGCGGGTTTGGACATAGAACGTCACTGGCTGTGGCCCTGTACCCAGAGCACAGGCTGTCCCCTCCACCACAGCTGTACAGGAAAGATAATTTAGGAAATTAATTTGCATCATCTCTGTCCTGTTCCACTCCACAGCTTCTCACCCGCCTGGCCCCTTAGCTCTTTGCCTCCTCACCTGGAGCTCGGGCTGTCCCCTCACCCTGCTAGGCAGAACTGGAGCTCCCAGGAGGCCGGGTTCAGTGGTGTGCTTACCTGACTAGAGGCTGGGGCCTTGGTGGGCTTGAGGGTGGGAGCTATCTTAGAACATGAGTGGCTGCCCGGCCCTGGGCTGACCCTTCCACCCCCCCATTTTGGGGGGTCCCCACAGCCCTTATGTTCCTCCTGGGTATCCTGGACTTCCTCTTCGTCAGCCATGCCTATCACAGCGTCCTGACCCGTGGGGCCTCTGTGCAGCTGGTGTTTGGCTTTGAGGTAAAACGGGCTTGGGAGGTCGGGAGGACAAGCCTGGGGTGGCACTGCACATGCCTTGAATAACCCAACAAACGCTTATCGAGCACCTGCTCTACGGCCAGCCCCACGTGTGCCACCAAGGAGCAGTTGTCGGTCAGTCCCAGCCCTCTGCACCTTCAGCCTGGGAGAGTGGGGAAGGCACAGAAGGAGGCACCGATGGAGGAGGAGCCCTGACCTGGCACTCAGGGAGGGCTTCCTGGAGGCTGGTGCCAGAGGAGCCAGCCATTGACGGACAGAAGCCGTCCGTGGCAGGACGCTGGCAGGGGAAGAACGTGCTTGTCAACAAGCTCGCATTGTCGAGTGCTTGGTGGGTGCCAGGCCCTGTGCTGAGTGCCTGCCCTGCGTGTCTTTGATTCAGCAAAGCAGTTAATTCTGTCGTTTTACAGTCAAGCACAGTGTAGTTCAGAGAGGCCCAGCGGGTTGCCAAAAGTCACACCAGCTAGTGAGTGGAGGAGCTAGGGAGGCCCCGGCTGTGTCCATGCCATGCTTGTGCTCTCGCACCCTGCTGTGCAAGGGCCTGGGAGCACTGGAGCAGCACGGCGCTGTGTGGTCACGGCCGCCCTTCCTCCCTCCAGTATGCCATCCTGATGACCATGGTGCTCACCATCTTCATCAAGTACGTGCTGCACTCTGTAGACCTCCAGAGCGAAAACCCCTGGGACAACAAAGCTGTGTACATGCTCTACACAGAGCTGTTCACAGGTGAGAGGGGCCTGGGCCTCCCCTGACCTGGCCAGCATCCCCCTCCGGCCCACAGGCCCGTGACCTGCCACTCTCTGCCCTCCCCGCCCCAGGCTTCATCAAGGTGCTGCTGTACATGGCTTTCATGACCATCATGATCAAGGTGCACACCTTCCCCCTATTTGCCATCCGGCCCATGTACCTGGCCATGAGGTAAGCCGTGCCCGCCACATCCCTGCCCGTCTCGTCCCACCCCTCCCCCTCCCGCCCTCTCCCTCTCCCAAGCAGCACCGAAACTGTCCTTTCAGGCAGTTCAAGAAAGCTGTGACAGACGCCATCATGTCTCGCCGTGCTATCCGCAACATGAACACACTGTAAGCGGCCTGCCCTGGGTGCTCCCTAGGCTCTGCCCCAGCTGTGGCCTCCGCCCTCTAATCTTGAAATGTCTTTGGCCTGTTCTAATCAGGTATCCAGACGCCACCCCAGAGGAGCTCCAGGCCATGGACAATGTATGCATCATCTGTCGAGAAGAGATGGTGACCGGGGCCAAGAGACTGCCATGCAACCACATTTTCCATACCAGGTGGGGGACCCCGGGGAGCCTGCACGTCAGAGATTGGCTTGTGGAGGCCGGCCCTGAGGGGCATGCTGACCACCGCCTGGTCTTGACTCCCAGCTGCCTGCGCTCCTGGTTCCAGCGGCAGCAGACCTGCCCCACCTGCCGTATGGATGTCCTTCGTGCGTCACTGCCAACCCAGTCACCGCCACCCCCTGAGCCTGCAGATCAGGGGCCACCACCTGCTGCCCACCCCCCACCGCTCCTGCCCCAGCCTCCCAACTGTGAGTGGCCCCCCATTTGGCTAACTACCATACCGTCGAGTGCCTGCCCTGGGCTGGGAATGGGAAATACTGAGAGTCAGAGCCCCTGCCCAGTAGGAGCTCCGTCTAGGGTGGGGGTCATGGGAAGAGACAGATGGTTGCAGTCATGTGATTAGTTGTGGACTCAGAAAGGACCTGTGGGAGCAGAGGATGAAGATCCCAACACCCAGCCCCTCGTCTGTGATTCGGACCCTTTCTCATGACCTCTTGTCCTCTCTCTGCAGTCCCCCAGGGCCTCCTGCCTCCCTTTCCTCCAGGCATGTTCCCGCTGTGGCCCCCCATGGGCCCCTTTCCACCAGTCCCACCTCCCCCCAGCTCAGGAGAGGCTGCGGCCCCTCCATCCACCAGTGCAGGTGAGCCTTCGGGTGCTGCAACCACCAGGGAGGGTGGGAGGAATGGAAGCGGAGGCCCTCAACACTGACTTCCTGTTCTTGCTCTTTAGCAGCCCTTTCTCGGCCCAGTGGAGCAGCCGCAACCACAGCCGCTTCTGCAGCCTCTGCCCAGGCACCTGGCTCTGCTCCGACCTCCGAGGCTGCCCCCACCCCAGGCTTCCCCTTCCCTCCTCCCTGGATGGGCATGCCACTGCCACCACCCTTTGGTAAGCAGGGCTACTCAGGATTGTTCTTGGGGCTGGGGGTGGTGTATGGCCCAGGCAACCCATGCTTAGTCTCCACCTTTCTCCAGCCTTCCCACCGATGCCTGTGCCGCCTGCTGGCTTTGCTGGGCTGACCCCGGAAGAGCTGCGGGCTCTGGAAGGTCACGAGCGGCAGCACTTGGAGGCTCGGCTGCAGAGCCTGCGCAACATCCACACGCTGCTGGACGCTGCCATGCTGCAGATCAACCAGTACCTCACTGTGCTCGCCTCCTTGGGGTACGTCTGCCCAGGGCACCAGGGTGGGCAGCACGGGTGTGCAGCTGCCAGGAGGCAGCTCCCAGCAGCGGTTCTTGGCCTTTTTCTCTTCTGCCCCCCTGACACCTGCTGATGCAAGGCACCTCTCTGGAGGCACATCCTGGGTCTGAGGGCTCTCGGTGCCTTTTGATCCTCCTTCTACAAGATGCCTGTCTGGATGAGTAGGAGTGAGGACTACTAGAGAGCTGACTTTGAGTCTTGTCACTTTACATTTTCGTAAAGTCAAATTACTTATAATTCTCAGTGTTGTAGTTCATTGTGTACACCCTCCTGACGTGGTGACACTGTGAATGGGAATCAGTGACCCCGATTTGAGACAGCCAGTAAAGTTAGTTACTTGGAGCCAGCCTGGCTCAAGTTTAGGTCCTGATCCATCACTCACGTGCTTTGTGACCACCATGACTTGAATAGAAGGGATTCTCGTTCTTATTCACAGGTCACATGTACACAGTGCCTGGCACCTAACAAGGACAGCACAGGGGTGGACAGGAGCTGGAGTCTGAGGCCTGAGTGCTCTGTGGGATGCTCCATAGGTGCCTTTAAAAGGTGCCTGACACCCAGGGTGGAGTGTCTGCAGTGAGCGGGCCCGCATCCCTGCCTGCAAGTGGTTTACAGTCAGCTGGGGTGTGGTTCACAGGGAGGCCTGTGTGCGCTGCCTCTGTCAGGCGATCCCCAGGCTGCAAAGGCGCATCGGTGCTGGACTCTGTTTTGCAAGGTTAACCGAGGACAGGAGAATCTGCCTGGTCATGCCAGTATGTCAAAGCTGTGGCCACCCTTTGTCCCTTCTCTCCCTAGGCCTCCCCGGCCTGCCACCTCAGTCAGCCCCACTGAGGAGGCTGCCCCTACAGTGGTCGCTGCTGCCTCTTCTATCAGCACCCCCAGCTCTGAGGCCACCGCCCCATCCCCAGGACCTTCCCCACCAGCCCCTGAATCTGAAAAGCCTCCAGGTAGTTGTGGTCAGCCTCCGGAGGAGGTGGGGGAGCGGAGTGGGGGACTTCTCTGTGTTCCACTTGTGACCTCTCTGTGCCCAGCTCCCGAGTCGGTGGGCGCCGGCGCCGAGGAGCTGCCTGAGGATGGGGAGCCTGACGCAGCAGAGCTCCGCCGCCGCCGTCTACAAAAGTTGGAGTCACCGGTTGCCCACTGACAGTGTCCCAGTCCTGGCCCCTGCTCCCACTCTCAGCAGCCCTGCTGGAACATGTCCTGCCACCAAGTGCCAGCTCCCTCTCTGTCTGTACCAGGGAGTAGTACCCCCAGCTCTGAGACGGAGCAGGTGGCATCCCCTAGGCCAAGTGGAAAGAGGCCTAAGGCCCCAGCTGACTCTCTAGCCCTTCTGGTCCTGGGCAGCCATGGGGGTTGTGGGTCAGTTTCACCCTTCTTCCCCGGCCCTGTGGCCCCATGTTCTGCTGGGGCATGAAGGCAGAACAGCACAGCCTCCGAAAGCCCACTGTCCCTGCACCCCTTTCTGGGAGGGGGCAGCCCCTCCAAGCCCCGCTTGTGTGTCTGGAGCCATGCTGCAGGGCTGAACAGTATTAGCTCCCATTCCCAAGTGTGGGCTCAAGGGGTGGGGCCAGGCCGGGAACGTGCTCCCTGGCTCACCAACCAAGACTGGTACCAATGTCCCTTTCTTACCCTAAACTCCCTGGAAGCTCTTCTGTGGTGGTGGCGGCCGTGTCCCTTATACTGCGTGACATTTCCATGTCTTACTGTCAACCACACAACTCAGGGAAAGGAGTGCCTGGGGGCAGAGAAGCAAGAGGGCAGCACCGAGGGACACTGCCCCCCTCACCCCCTGCCCCAAGGCCTCTCTCCCTATAGCTGGTCTGAAGTGAGGCTGCCCCGGTCTCAGCCAGCAGCCACTGCCCAGCCTCCCTCCAGGCCGAGGGCTTGTGTGTCTGCTCCAGAGCCTACTTCTCAACGTACAGAACTTCTTTTGAGTTCAGAAGAATTGGAATACCTTCTTTGCTATTTCCTTCAGCTCAAATCTTGTCTTTGAATTTGAATGCTTGACCCCGGAAACAGAAAGGCCAGGCTCCGGGTCTTTCCAGTTCAGAACAGGCTCTGGGCCGGGTAGTGCTCCGCGGGAGCCAAGGCCTGCCCGGCCCTGTCTTCTTCCCCTTGGTTTTGTGTTACATGAGTTGCTGGAGAGTTTCAGATGATTATTTAATTTGTAAATACTGTACAAATTTTAATAGCTTGAATTGTATATACAGCCAAATAAAAACTCGCATTAACAATTGGTAGAGCTGGTGTCAGGGTCAGTGAGACGGCTCCTTACTCAGGCTGTAGACTCATGGCCTGGACTCTCCACGAGGGAGGGTTTATTTACACAAGCCAGCACTGTCCTTGGGCACACTGTAGTTAAACTATTAGAAAGATATACTCATGTCGTCTATGGCCATACCACTCTGATCTCGTCTGAAAGATAAACCCATACTACACACAAACCACGCCACAGAAAGGTTTGAGACCAAGTAGGGGAACCAGGCTCTGAACCCTGTCTTAGCCCGTCTGATGCTGGGGTAGGGGTGGCAACTCAGGGCTTTGGCCCTTGTGGCAGGCCAAGGGTGAGGTTCATTGCCTGGGGGTGGGGTGGCAGGGACAAAAGGTCAGCCTTTTCCTGCCTGCAACCCGCCTGTCCACCTTGATCCCAGGTCTACCAACTGGGAAGCAGACCCTGTGTGCTGGACTGCTGGGAGCTCCCAAGCACCCCCTTGTGGGCAGACCAGCTACAGCTTATCACTTAGATTCCTAGAGCTGGAAACCCAATCAGGCTCAACTCTGGTCCAGAATAGAGCAGAGGTAAGTGGGCGGTCTGCCTCACTGCGGGTAGAAAGAATGAGCCCGGGGCTGACATGGGCACACTGTGCCCTTGTGCCCAGCACTGCACTTGGAACTGAAGACTTCTACACCCTTGTCATTCATCTGTATTCTCTGTCGCCTCCAACAAGCCAGGTCTGGCACAGAGCAAGGGCTTGAGAACGCTTGCAGCAGGGAGTGTGGAGGGCCCAGGAAGGCAGGTACCCAATGGGTCTGTCCTGTGCTGCCGTTCCCTAAACTTGGTTGGGCTACTGCTTTCACCAAAGGGGCAGTCAACAACCTCCTGAATTTGAATAGCTGAGCCCAAGGAGAGCCAACGAAGGAAAAAAAGCAACAGACTGCTGGTGTGTCTCCATTGGCTGGAGGGTCGTACAATGCACTGAAAGGTCATGGGTTCAATTCTGGGTCAGGGCACGTGTCTAGGCTGTGGGTTCAGTCCCCCACTGGAACACATGCAAGAGACAACCCATTGATGTTCCTCTCTCACGTTGATGTTTCTTTCCCTCTCGCTACCTTACCCTCTCTGAAATCAATAAGTATGTCCTCAGGTGAGGATTAAAAAAAAAAAAGGAACAGACCAAAATCAGGGTGGTAGTGACAGGGGGAAGCTACTAACGCCTCCCACTAGCTCGGCTATTCCTAGTGCACAGGTGGCACACACAAGGCCCGTGGGACAAACCGGACCTCCACCTTGTTTCATCCGGCCCAGCATCTCGTTCCTACCCAGCGGCAAAGCAATGCCGAGCTCTCGCTTAACTGTTAAGGAGTAGTTACATTTATACAGCCCTAGAATTACATTCAGCCCTTTGTAGGCAACCGCAAGGCTGATGTGGCCCATGGTGACCATGCATTTGACACCCCTGTTCTAGTGGGTCTCCAGTGTCAGCCCTCCCCCAGTGCCGGTGCCTGTGCATATGGCACCTGTCTCCCCCTTTATGCAGGCAAGCTCTGCAGCCCTTTAGCCCTCACTCTACCCTGTCCCAGCCCTTATACCCCCAGGTCTCTGCACCCCCATCCTAGTTGCTCCAGCAACCAGCTCCTCCTCCTGAGACTCCCTGGACCCCAGTCTGTAGGGGATGCTGTTGCGCAGGCTGCACAGCTAGGTCTAGAAGCCCTTCTCCAGGAGCCAGGCTTTTAGTTGCTGGTCAAAGTAGCCCTTGACCCGCACGGTGCCTGTCACCTCATTGACCTGGGTGATGGGTGTCTTCCCAAGCAGTGGGCTCAGAAACTCTTCCACATCCTTCTGCAGGGCCTGGGGGAAGATAACAAAGCAAGCCTGGTCAGAAAACTGTCACCACTAGAGGACTCCCATCCCTTCAGCCCTGGAACAGTCACAGTCACACCCTGACTGGCCCACGCGCTTACCCAAATATCTCCCTCCACCTTCCGGATCACAGTCATCTGGCGGTTGCCATGCGTGATGTCCTTATAGACAGGGATGTTGTGCATCCGAGAGCGCCGCACAAAGTACGGCAGCCTGGGTACAGGGTCTGGGACAGGGAGGACAGCAATAAGCTAAACCTTCCCAGGCTTTATCCCACTGCAGCAGAGGGTAGGTGCAGCGATGGCAAAGCCTCATCCAGGTGTCAGGTCAGGAGACCTGCTCCTTCTCTACGTTTAGTGCCAGGACACTGGTACCCCAAGGCCCAGCACAGGACCAGGCACCAGAAGATGCTCAAGAAGAAATGAAGTCAGGACTGTGCCTCCCTGGATCTCTGGGTCGCCCTAGGGGGCCAATCCTTGCCTTTCTCCTCTGGATCAGGGAGACGAAAGTGAATCTCTGGCACAAAGCTTTGAGAATTTACAAGCCCTGAATACCGACCACAGGCCAGACTCTGCACTAAGTACTTCATGTGCCAAGCAGATTATCTCCATTTTGCTGAAACTGAGGTTGGGAGAGGCAGACACAAGATCACACTGGTGGTGAAGAGCAGAGCCAAATTTGGACCCAGAACTGCCCAGCTCCCAAGCTGTATTTTCAATGATAATATATGGCCTATGGGGTGTGTGGGGGCGGGCGTGGGGGGTGGTCCAAGCTCTTGATCTTCCCTATATGCTTCAGTTCTCCTGCATGGGAAGACCTTATCCCAATAGTGTGGGTGGACGTTTATGTGTAACACAGGGCTCCAATCCTGGGCCCTTCCATGACCATAAGACAGATGGTAGCCTTGAGAGATCTCAATGCAAATTCTGAACCTGCTTAGGAGTTCAGAATCTCAGCTGGGACAGGGTGACCACTGAGGAGGGGTACTTCCCTGAAGCCTTCACGCCATTCCCATTATCCAGCTCACCTCTGGGGGGCTGCCAGCCACTAGGAGTGGGGTAATGTTCATGCTTTGGGGGCTTTGGGATGCTGGTGGAGGGCAACAGGCGCTCCACAAACTGGTATTCATCCACAGACTCCACGAAGCTGGGGTAATCGGGAGGTCCCTTGGTCTGGCTCTGAGGCGAAAACAAAAAGCACCATCTCTCCATCAGCCCACTCACCACCCAACCAACACAGCAAAGACAGAACTTCAGTAATTAGAGGAAGGAAACACTGCAGGCTGAGAGAATGGCATATACAAATGGCTGGAGATGAAAAAGCACCAGACTTCAGTTTATCATGGTGCAGGTGGGACCGGGAAAGAAGTTCAAGCATTCTGAGGAGCCTGCCTCTCCTGCCCCTCTTGGGACTCAAATGAAAAGAATGTGTATACTTCTGAAAAGACAATTAACTGGAACTCTGACCAATATGGTGTATTTCAGCCCTGGCTGGTATAGCTCAGTGGATTGAGCACGGGCCTGCGAAGCAAAGGATTGCAGTTCGATTCCCAGTCAGGGCACATGCCTGGGTTGCAGGCCAGTTCCCAGCAGGGGACACACAAAAGGCAACCATACATTGATGTTTCTCTCCCTCTCTCCTTTCCTTCCCCTCTAGAGATAAGTAAATAAAATCTTTAAAAAATTTATGGTGTATTTCAGAATTGAAGTTTCACTTAAACGTTCTACCGAAATATTCTAGTTTTGGGTTCTAGACACTTTCAGGAATCATGATAGTTTTCCTCTCACCCTCACCTGACACGATTCTCTTACCGGGAGGATTTCAGTCTCATTTGGACAGACACCACCAAGCACTCACTTCATTGTTACAATGCAACAAGTTAATGTATTTTACGACACACTTTTTGAATCCACTTCCCCTAAGGTCATACTCCGGAGGCCGTCTTCCCATCTTCCAGCCTTAAGATCCTTCTTGGACAATTTTCCCTTACAATACCCCGGAATCCTAATCGGCCCCGAGGTTACAAAGGGCACAGGGAAGCGGGATAAAGCAAAGGCTCTGTTATGTCATGAGCTCTAGGTTCTCAGAAGTGGATCGACCTGCGGACCCCACGGACCGGTTTCCCCTTCGAAACGTGCAGCCCCTCCCAGTTCTGACTAACCAGGGTTGTCCTCCAATCAGGTTCCAAGTCCCCACAATCCGAAGTACACACTAGTCCGTATCACCTTCCTTCTCAATCTAGTATCTCAGCTACAGAAAAGGTCTCTCTGGTCAGATGGGGAAACTAAGACCCCTAGTAGGAAAGCGACTTGCAAAGTTACAAGAAAAATGACAGTGAGCCTCACACCCAGCCCTGTGCTCTCAGCTCCAATCTCCGTGCCCTCACCTGCCGCCGTAGCCCGCAACCCGGGTGGATGCCGACTCTCCAGCCCCGCAGCGAAGCCCGGAACATGGTCGCAGCCATGTTGAACTCTCCAGTTTATTAGCCCTCTGCGCGCGCAACCATCTTGGTCCCGCCCCTTCCAGAGCACGCCTCTCCGGACAGAAAGAACGCCTCTGCGAGTCTAAAGGGGCGGAGCTAGGGCGGCCGTGGGCGGTACAAATAGCAGAGGCCCCCTTCGTCTCTCAACAGTGACGTAGGACGCAGCAAGCGGCTAGTACGTGTGCGCTCCTGATCCTTCCTCTTTCTCGACTCCATCTTCGCGGTAGCAGCTGGGGTTGCAGTTCAGGTGAGTTTCATGGCACGGTTGAATGTGGAGGGCTTCATAGCGGGTTGGCTGAGAGATCAGCGGGAGCGGGGAAAATAGAGGACTAGGGGCTGCTATATGGGCCGAATTCTTGTTCCCATCCGACCCACCTAGTGGGTAGGCCCGATCTTACCCACGTGAGATCTGCGATCGCCCCCCAGCCTGCCACCGGTTCCCGAACTCCCTGTCTCCTAGGATATTTCTTCTTTTACGAGCATTTCTTTCCTCAGTCGCCGACATGCAGCTTTTTATCCGAGCCCAGGAGCTACACACCCTCGAGGTGACGGGCCAGGAGACTGTCGCCCAGATCAAGGTAATCCTGCGTGGTTCTCCCCAGGCACCCTTTTGTTCTTTTATCTCGCTTCTTGGGAGAACGCTAACTAACCTCACTTTTGCCTGTAGGCTCATGTAGCCTCGCTGGAGGGCATCGCTCCAGAAGATCAAGTGGTGCTCCTGGCAGGCACGCCCCTGGAGGATGAGGCTACCCTGGGCCAGTGTGGGGTGGAGTCCCTGACCACTCTAGAAGTAGCCGGTCGCATGCTGGGAGGTGAGTTGGAGAGGACTGCCCTTTGAACTGCTTGTCAGCACATAATGAGCGTGGAGGTCAGTGTCCTCAATTCAGGGTTCCTTCTTCCTGTTTACCTCAGAATTAACTCTTGAGAGGTCTGCGAAGACTGAGCCAGAGGACAATTCTATTTACTCACTCAGTCGACCCTTGTCAGTTTCCCAGTTTCCTCGCTAAAATCAGGTTAGACCAGATCCCCAGGTGCTGTCCAGTTTTTGTTTAAACTCAGGGGCTAGTAAGTCCTGATGTGAAACCCAGAACATTCCAGACCAACCTTCTTAGTCAGATATGAAATCTCTGCCACTTTGTTTGTTGTTCCCTGTTACACCCAGCTTTAAAGGCTTGAGTTGAGGGAGAAAGAAATCTGCCGGCTGGGGCCTTCGTGTCTCCTAACTGCTTGCTGTTCTTCTCCATCACAGGTAAAGTACATGGCTCCCTAGCCCGTGCTGGAAAAGTAAGAGGTCAGACCCCCAAGGTAAGTGAGAGTACTAGTCCTTTGGGCTTTGTTTTTTTTTTGTATCACAGGAAACAAAAATCCTTGGCTCTTGACCTGTCTGTCTTCTCCCACCCTGGAGATGAGCTCAAGGGAAGGCATGGAAGAGCCAGTCAGGGTCTGATCCGCCTTCCCTTTTTCCAGGTGGCCAAGCAGGAGAAGAAGAAGAAGAAGACTGGTCGGGCCAAGCGGCGGATGCAGTACAACCGGCGTTTTGTCAATGTCGTGCCCACCTTTGGCAAGAAGAAGGGCCCCAATGCCAACTCCTAAGTCCTTTGTCATCCTGGCTTTCCCCAATAAAGCCACTTAGCCCAGTCCTCTTGTTTCATCTTCATTTGCAGGACCTTAGGGATGCAAATCCGTTTGCAGAGACGGCTTTGAGGGCTGGCGGTGTGCCCCCTACAACAGTGAGGTCTCATTGGGGTTTCTTGGCAGAGTCAAGTGAGGACGGCAGAGGCCCTGGCTGGTAGCAGGGGAGGCCAGTTGGGTTGACATGGTAAATTATAAGAAAAGGCTTCCCATGAAAACCAGTAACAACACGTGCCATTTTCTCAAATGTAGAGGTGGGGAAATGTCTGCACTCATAACTTAGTAATTCTCCCAAATCTTTGTGTTCTTGTTCTTTTATTTACTTATTTACTTTTATGTACTCTTAAACAGAAGGTAAGACTCACTGTAGTGGGTGTTTCATGGGGGGAGCTTTAGGAGGGAGGCATTCTGGTGGGAGAAATGTCGGGATGCTGGTATGGCCTTTCCCTGAGCCTGGGACCAGCTGTGGCTGTAGTGTGGAGTCCAGGGTGGGAACTTGGTCTACCCCAGCTTTGGGAAGTATTGTCTGATTACACTGGTGCCGTGTTGACCTTCACTGGTGCCGTGTTGACCTTTGTTTGTACTTTTTTTTTTTTAAGATTTTATTTATCTTTAGAGGGGAAGGGAAGGAGAGAGGGAGAGAAACATCAATGTATGGTTGCCTTTCGTGAGTCCCTTGCTGGGAACTGGTCTGCAACCCAGGCATGTGCCCTGACTGGGAATCGAACCGCAGTTGTCTGGTTTGCAGGCCTGCACTCAATCCACTGATCTACACCAGCCAGGGCTGTTCGTACTTCTGATTACATGGAGGGTCTTGTCAACCTAATCATAGCTGAGGTCAGTCAGTTGATTGTGTTTCACTGTTCCCAGAAAGGTGAGTTCTCTGGGACTGATTCAGGGGTTCTGCTAGTAACTAGTGCATACCTACACATCATTCGGCTGATGCTTTTGAAACTCCTGCTTCCTGGAGAAAGACCTTGGTTGGGCTCTAGACTTGGACTGCCTTGAGTTTGGGTCCTTGCTCCGTGTATGTCTATTTAATTTCTGCTGTTTAATCCACTGTCTCTTGAGAGTTGTTGTTAGGATTAAATAAAGGATGTGAAGTGCTTAGATCAGCACTTGCCACATAGTAAGTACAAATATATTCCCTGTTTTTATCTCTGGTTAGAAAGACTTGGCTTCCTCCATTCTAGGAATTTATATTTCAAGATTCAGGGGAGGAAAGTGGGAGTGTTAATAGCCTTAGAGAAAGTCAGTAGGGTGCTGTAATGAAGGAGGTTTGGGTACAGACATACTATCGTGGGAAAGGCCTCTAAGGACAGGATGCGAAACCTGAAACAAGGAGCCAATCAGATGGTCAGATGGTAAGTTCCAGCTGATAGAGCTGCAGTCACATGCAAAGGAATTTGGGTCCAAATGCAGTGGAGAATCACCAAGGGCAGGGAAAGGTTTTGTGATTATAGTTTCTCTGGCTGATTTTTCTAGAGAGCTGGCAAGAAAACTAGGAAACCAGTAAAGGTTGAGTTATCCGGTTGAGGGGCAAGGAATTTAGACCACCAAAAGTAGTGGGGATGTAAAAACCGAACACACCTAACCGTCTCACCACTTCACTAACCAACTGGCACTTTTAAAAAAACACGTGAAGGTCATCACATTTATCTAGATCTTGGTAGAGAAATATGACCCATATTGAAGTAAGTACAAGGTATCCTGAAGGCCGAACTGACCATGTGAGATTGAATATGAATAAAGTGAAGGACCAAAGAACCAAAGCTTGCTTGCTTTCAGGGCTTCCATGGGTCAACTCAGGTTTGACCCCACTCTACCGAAAACTGGAAGTTCCATTATGATAGGACCTTGTCTCGGCGCAATGTATTTTTGGTGCCTTATATGGAATCTGCACTTTAAAGTTGGATAAAGGGTAGGTTTGGAGGAGAAAAACAAGAGCTCAGATATTTGTTAAATGTTGCTGTTCTGAAGAGGGAAAATGCCCCAAGACACACCCAGCCCCAGCGTGGGCTAGTTACCCCACCTTGGCTTTTCCATTCTCTCCCCTTTGTGACGCCTAGTACGTAGAATGGCTGTCCCTACAGTGGAGGAACGCATCTCATTTCCCATGGGCCTGGCACAATAACCCGGACTAAGTGCTTAGCAAAGATGGGTCTTCCATTTATACCGCCAGGTGGCGAGCTGGCCCCGGCAGAGGACGCCATCTTACCTCACAGGTGACGACCCGCTCCAGCCCCGCCCGAGCGCTTCTAGACTAAGGGGTGGTGTTTGTGTTCCGAGAGTGGGCGGGAGTTCCTGAGAGTCTTCGGGAAGTTTTGATTGGGCCTTCCCTAGCAGAGAGAGAGGAAGCAGTAACCGGGAAGCGCCGGAAGTTGCGGAGCCGCAGTCCCCGTGCACTCGCGGGTGGCGCGGGTTGCCGGTTGCCATGGAGCCGGCCGGGCCCTGCGCTTTCTGCCCGGCCGGGGAAGCCCGGGCAGCGCGCTACACCTGCCCCCGCTGTAATGTGCCCTACTGCTCACTGCGCTGCTACCGGGCGCATGGCACCTGTGCCGAAGGCTTCTACCGTGACCAGGTGCTGGGAGAACTCCGCGGCCGCAGCGCCTCTCCCAGCCGCCTAGCCAGCGCCCTCCGCCGCCTGCGTCAGCAACGCGAGGCCGAGGACGAGCCGCAGGACGCAGGCCTCAGACCTGGCCCGGCGCCCGGCGGCCTCTTAGGACTCTGGGAGCGGCTAGACCCGGCCGAGAAGGCGGCCTTCGAGCGGCTGCTGAACCGTGGCGAGGCCGGACGGCTGCTGCCCCCGTGGCGGCCGTGGTGGTGGGGTCGCGGGGCCGGGCCACGACTTCTGGAGGAGCTGGATGATACTCCGGGCGGTGAGGCCAGAGAGCTGGAGCCCGCCCCTGCGAGAGCGCCACCTGGACTTGCGAAAGATGCCGCTGCCGCGGAGGCCCGGGCCGCCGAGGAGAGGGTTCTCGGAGATGCTGCCGGGGCCTGCACGCCCGCCGTTCCCACCCGGATCCCCACGCTGGCCAGCCTGAGCCGCGGCCGGGCCTCGCCGCTCGTACGCTTCCAGCTGCCCAACGTGCTATTCGCTTATGCACACACTCTTGCCCTGTATCATGGCGGCGACGACGCGCTGCTCTCCGACTTCTGTGCCACGCTGCTCGGGGTTTCCGGGGCCCTGGGCGCCCAGCAAGTCTTTACCTCTGCCGAAGAAGCCCTGCTAGCTGCAGCTCACATTCTGGAAGGGGGCGAGCATCCACCCGGGCCCCTGGGCACATGGGGTGCCATGCGCGAGGCTGCTCGCATCCTGCTGGGTGAGGGTCCTGCCGACCAGAAGGGCTACACGCTGGCAGCACTGGGGCACCTGGCACAAACCCTGGGCCGGGCCCGAAAACATGTCGAGTCCACT